CAGTAAACGCCCAGGTCCGTTTAGTAAACGCAGATTGTCGGGGTCGGGGTGGTCTTTCTTCCCCCGAAGAAGTGCCCCCAGACGAAAGCGTGAAGCAACGCATGTCTTTTGAACCATCAGAAAGGCATCGGAGGTCTCTGGAGGTCTCCTGAGGCCTCTGGGGGCCCTACATGGGCCGATAACGTCCAAGCATACTGAACATTTCCTTCTCGCTCGTCTCGGGGCGGACGAGAATGGCGACAACAAACGAATCAACTAATTCGCCCGGCGCCTCCTAGCGCCGGTTGCGACCGTGTTTGGAAAAGGCTGCCAGGCGGCGGCGCCGAAGCCAGCTGCATGCACAAATGTTCGTGACCCCCATTTTCCCAACCAAACCTTCGCCGTTCGCCCGCCCGGAAGGAGGCGGCAAAGGACGAGGAGGTCCACCAGATCTTTTTGAAGATAGACGTATTTGCGCGATGTGTAAAGCATGGCCATCTTTGGGCATGTCGTGGCCACCGTGGGGGGCCCCCGCTGGGACCGCGGAGTCCCCCATGGACCCACTGTGAGCTCTTCGCGCGAAGGCCAGACTGGAGAAATCATGAATGCAGAAATCTCTCGCAAGACGGGCTTTCCAACATGAGACGACGAGTTGGTCGTGTCGCGATGACTTCGGCGCTGGCTTTTCTGACGCCGCGCGGATCGTTCGGCCACTTGAGCGATCGATGACCTCCGAAAGCACAAGTCGCTCGATGTTGCACGAGTGGCCGCTGTCAGCGCTTGATGGGACGCAAAAGGACTACTAGTACTATGCGAACTCCCTTGGAAGCGCACGTCAGAACCGAGCATATTCGGGGGGGGGGACGAAATGGGGGGGATATCAAAGGGTAAGGTAGAGAGAATCGGCTCACATGGCTGATGTGCCCAGCGCCTCCCGGCGCCGGGAAGGGCGCCCGTGCATCGAGGGATGGGCCCGCCGGCGGTGCCGAAACCAGCTGCACGCAGCAAATTTCTGACCCCCCCCCCTGCACTGATGCCGCCTGCCGCCGCCGCCGAGGCCAGAGGACGCTCTTGTGTGTCGGGCCGCCGAGGCCACCGAACAATAGCTGCACCGAAGGAGCAGCGCCCGGCGGAGAAGAGCGGACGGCGGGCAGGCACGCTCGAGGCCGACGGAGGATTGCAACAAAAACGAAGGATTGCAAAAAAACGAAGGATTGCAAAAAAAACCCTTCGACGAAGGATTGCAAAAAAAACCCTTCGGAGAAGAGCGGACGGCGGGCAGGCACGCTCGAGGCCGACGGCTGTCGGCTCTCTCCGGCAGGGGTTCAAGCAACGCGCGAGGGAGGGGCATGAGCGTTCGTTAGAACATAGGGTTTCCCTGCCTGGCGTAGCCCCTCTCTCTGTCCTGCCTCTGCCGCCCGTGCTCCTCCTCCGCTGCCTCTTGGCTCCAGGCCGCTCTGAGAGCGGCCCGAATCTCTCTTCTTGGAGGTCGAGGGGCGGAGGTGTGGAGGGGCCCCCCCCCCCCTCGCGTGCGGCCCCCCACACATGGCACAGGCATCGCATGGCAGCTCGCTGTCCGGGCGGCATGGCCAAAAAACCGCGCCCGCCACCGAGCACAGTGCCACGAGGCCCGCAGGGGCGCGCGCGGCGCCCCTGGCGGGGGGCCGACGCGCACATGGTGACTGTGAGCATGCTTCTGTCGGCATGCCCTCACCTGGGCATGGCTCGGACGTCCATTCCCTGTGTCTTTTTTCGGTTTCGTGCGTGGTTTTTTCGCCAAATGATCAAGGCTGCTCCTCGATGGCCCTCGCCGAAGGAAAAGTGCACACGTCCGAGCGATGCCAAGTCACTAGACGGACGTGTGAGTGTGCTTCGGTCGGCAGGCGGGCTCTGGGCGAAAACTAGAATGAGGTCAGACAAAATATTCAAACACAGGCAAGAATACAGCAGCAGCCTCGTCCCCAGACTGTGGTTTTCTCAAGCCACTTCTGAAGCTTCCTCCGGTAGAGAGGGGCCTGCACGACTGGCGAGCATGCTCGAGGATGCCGATTGAGCCATTCCTGAAGATTCCTCCTGTAGGGAGGGACCTGCCCGACTTGCGGGCATGCTCGAGGCTGCCGACTCGGCGCGGAACGCCCCGGAAGGCGGCCGTCGCCGAGCCGACACCGCCCGAACCTGCCGCGGGCCCTCCCGCCCGACCCCTCCGCGGCGTCGGAGGCCGGGTGTGCGCCGCGCGCGGGCGCGCCGCCCGCGGAGCGCGGAAGAACAGGCCACGGCGCAGGCACGACCTCCTCCTCCTCCTCCTCCTCCTCCTCCTCCTCCTCCTGCTCCTCCTCCTCCTCCTCCTCCTCCTCCCTCCCATCCTCCCTTCTCTTCCTCCCTTCTCTTCCTCCCTTCTCTTCCTCCTCCTCCTCCTCCTCCCTCCCCCTCCATCCTCCCTTCTCTCCTCCTCCTCCTCCTCCTCCTCCTCCCTCCTCCTCCTCCTCCTCCTCCTCCTCCTCCTCCTCCTCCTCCTCCTCCTCCTCCTCCTCCTCCTCCTCCCCCTCGGCGCGGACCTCTCGGCAGGGCGCCGGCCCGCCCCTCCCAGGCGGGCGGAGCGCGCCAGGGGGCGGCGCCCGCGGGGGCGCCGCCGCGCGGAGAGGCCCCGCGCCGAGCCGAGAAGCCCGTGCGCTGTCGCCGGGAGCTCGTGCGCCTGCCGCGGCCTCCTCTTCCGGGAGACCCCCGCCATCGCCGCCCGCGGGGGGGGGAGGCCCGGGGCCTCGGCCGCCGCACGGCGCCGGGCCGCGCGGCCGCCTGCGCCCGTACAGCGCGATGCGCGGGCGGCCGCGCGTGCGCGCGCCGTCGCCGTCGCCGTCGCCGCGGGTCGCGGCCGTGGCCGGGACCGCCGCCGCCGTCGTCGCTACGTCCAGAACTCATCGAGGACTTGGTGCCTTCACGGTGGCCTCCACAGGCGTCAGGAGTCCCCCAGGGACCTCCAGGGGCCTCGGGAGGCATCCGGCGACGCCCCGCGCGCGTCTCGACGGGTTGGCGTGTTGCCACAGCCGGGTGCTCGTCGTCGTCATGCTTCTCGCAATCCTCGTCCTCCTCGTCGTCCTGCTCCCTCTCGTCCTCCCGCCCCTACGTTCACTCCACAGTGCAGGAGGTGAAGAATGAGGAGCATGAGGAAGGGGCGGATGATGATAGGGAGACGGAAAATATGATGATGATGATGATGATGATGATGATGATGATGATGATGATGATGATGATGATGAGGATGATGATGATGAGGATGATGATGATGATGACGACGACGACGCGGCTGATGATGATGATGATTATGATGATGATGATGCTGATGATGATGATGAGCTTCGAACCGGCTAGACCAGGAGATCCCCGATTTTGGCTAAGTGAAGGAAATGTGCAACTACGCGAATGACACGATAGCACGAATGCAAAATAATACGGATCGAAAGAACGAGCCAGGCGAGGTCCGCGAAATGCAAGTGTGAAATGTGTGCAACGCGGAAGCACGGGTACGAAAAAAGTACGAACGCACATCCAAAGTACAAAAAGCATATGAATCACGTGTGAGACACATGTGGAAAATTACGGACGCACATCCGAAGTGCGAAATAAGTTTGAACATGCAATCCAAAAGTACGAACTGTGAAACGTGTACGGCACAAGTATTTCGAGATACTTTGTCATATTTGTTTCACACTTCGGAGTTCTTAACTTCTGTACTTCGTGACTGCACGGCATATTTCTCGCATTCGTACTTCGGCGTGGCACTTTCTTTCCAATTGGGATACGTTGCGTTCCTCTGGGGGGGGGGTCTGGTGTAGATGGCCAGAATCCCACCAGCCCTTTGGGCGCGAGTGGTTTAGAGAGCCCGCTCTGTTCTCAACCCCCTTCTTCCCCTTCGGGGAGGGGTTTACCCCTCCCCCTACCCCCTCCCCCTGGACCTGGAGAGGTCCTTTCGCGGGTGGTTGGAGGGGTCTTTTTCGACTCCTGGGAGGGCTAAAAAACGACACCCCTCACGAGGATTCTGGCCCCGACGGGGGGGGGGAGAGAAAAAACCCGTCCCTCTTCTTTGAAGCCAAAATCATTGATTTTACTTCGGTTGTGGCCCCATTTTGGCCTTCTGAGGGGGCAGCGCTAATTAAAGCTCCCCTCTTCTTTCAAGCCAGAATCATTGATTTTACAAAGGTTTCGGCCCCATTTTGGCCTTCTGAGGGGGCAGCGCTAATTAAAGCTCCCCTCTTCTTTGATCGATTTCCTACAAGATGGCCCCAAGAAGCGCCCAGGAGGTACCAAGAGGCCCCAAGATGGCCCCAAGAGGCCCCCAGGAGGCCCCCAAGAGGATCCCAAACGGCCCAAAGAGGCCCCCCTCGAGGCACCCAAGACGCCGAAAAGCCCATCAGGACGACCCTCTACTCGCCTGGGCGTCGTTTCTGGACGGGCAGGAGGAGGGGCCCGAACGACTCACACCAGGACGAGGGGCCCGAACAATTCACACCACGAGAAGCCCGAACGACTCACACCAGGACGAAGAGCCCGAACGACTCACACCACGAAGAGCCCGAACGACTCACACCAGGAAGAAGGGCCCGAACGACCCACACCAGGACGAGAAGCCCGAACGACTCAAACCACGAAGAGCGCTTTCTCTCCCTCCTCCTCCGCCTCGTCCTTCTCCCGCTCCCACCACAAGGAGAATGTACAAGGAAGCGGGAGGAAGGAGGAACAGGGGAGATATGCGGGGGCAGGCGGAAACACGCCTGAAAAACACGAATGTCGGCATGCTTCGCTAGAGTTGCTGTTTTGAGATGGGCTGCTGGGGATACGCGAAGCGTGAAGAATATTTCAAGATGCTGATGATGCTGATGATGATGATGATGATTCTGATGATTGTGATGAGGATGATGCTGATGAATATGATGATGCTGATGACGATGATGGTGGCGATGGCGAGGATGATGGTTATGATGGTGCTGATGATCATGATCATGATGGTAATGATAAAATATTTTTTTTCGTCCGGAATTCAACGGGCGCCTCTCCCGAATCACCACCAGCCTCCTGCGCAGCCACCGGGCCCACCTGCGCACAACTCAATGTGCATCGACCAGGCTGTACAGACATAGTCTCGGCCAAAATGGCTCTATACTGGGCACGACGAAAGTGCAGGAAAAAAACAGCAGGAAGATACGTTCAGGCCTAGATGTGGACGGGTGGAAAAGCACAAGAGGGGCTACGGCTACGCGGAGCGGAGCACGGGGTCAGCGATGCGCGGACGAGGAGCCCAGAACGGAGAGGGGGAAGCAGGAGGGACCAGCGACTAAACGACTAAACGACCACAGGAATTGGCCGACTCCTGTGCTGAGAAAGCAGGCGTCCTAATAAGACCCCGGACGCGGCTCACGAAACCCGACGAAGATCAGGATGAACATGTGGTTATGGTAGATGATGAAGCCAGCGGGCGGCCACGCACGCCGAGGTAGCGACGACGGGCGGTCCGAGCCTCCGCTCGGAGCGAACCGCCACCGGGCCCAGCGAAGCAGCCAGCGCCCACCCGCCCAGAACAGCACCCCTCCGCGTCCCCAGGGGGGACCTGCCTCGCACTATGCGAGGCCGCGTTCGCTCATGGCCTGCGCTGCCATGGCGCAGGCCACGCCTCGTCGAACAAGAGCATGGTCGCGCTGCGCTGCGCCCTGCGCTTGATGCTGGGCAGCCTCCCTCATCAGGCGCGCGTGGATGTCGGGAAGCGCCATCCCGCCCTCCTCGTGCCAGCACCGCACCTCAGCCAACACCAGGATGTACTCGAGGCTGCGGGCGCCCGCGGCAGCCGTGGGCGGCGTCGTAACGCTCTCCTTCCTCCTTTCGCCGTCGTCGTTGGTCTCCACGCGCTGCGGGTCCTTGGCAGGCGCATTCTCGCATCCTGCGGCGGGGGGGGCAAGTCCGGGAAGGGACAACGCACGTCCTCCACTTGCACCCCCTCCTGGGCGCGTCTGGGCATCGGGTGTCGAAGTAGCTGCCGGCTCCTTCCCCCCCGGGCCCGCACTCGGAGTATCCTCCCGGGGGGGGCTGCAGGCAGCGCGGCTGCCCTCCTTCTTCAGGTAGTCGCCGCCCTCGTCGTCGTCCTCGTCGTCCCTCTCCTCTCCGGAGTCCGTGTGGCCACTCATCGGAATCCGCACGACCAGGGAAGCCAATGACTCCTCGTCAGAACTTTCCTCGCACCGCGTGTCCTCACACTCATCCGCCGTCCTGCCGTCGTCGTCCTTGTTGATGCCAGTGATGATCCCGCCGGACGGCGTCGTAACGCCCCCCGCCGCCGTCGTGTCGTCGTAGTGGGTCTTGAGCTCGCTGATGTTCGCCATGGGCATGGGCGCCGTCGCAGCGTACTCCGTCTGGTCGTCCTGCGGCTCGGCGTGCTCGACGGCGAATGTCCGGTCATCCAGCGGCTCCTCATCGATAGCCAGGTTGTCGGACCCGCGGCAAGACCCACCGGCATCGCCGCCGCCCCGATGGCTGGTCTTGCCCGCTCCCGAGCTATCCATCGCCGCCAGCCGCTGCGAAGGATGTGAGCTCGTCCGCTCGGGAGCCTGCGACATGAGCTGCTCCTCCCTAGGGGAGGAGCTGGATACGGGGATGGTGGCAGAGAGCCGCCTGTCCTGGTCCGTGTCCCGGAAGTGGCAGCACTCGGCGTCGCTCCTGATGCAGTCGCCGTCCGGCTCGACTGCCTGAATGCCCTGCCACGCGTCCTTCATGATGAGCCCGTCCTTCTCCGGCGTCTGTTCGGGCTCGCCGTGGACAATCAGGGTGGGGAAGAAGTCGGTCTCGTAGTCCAAGGCGTCCTCGTCGTCCATGGCGTGGGTGACGCCGAAGTGGCGCATCTTCAGGTCCGTCTGGCACTCCTTGTCGTCGAAAGTGTGCGCGGCGAAAATCTCGCCGGCAGCGTCCTCGAAGTGGCGTGCCGCCTGATCGGTCTGGTACTCCTGCTCCCCCTCCTCCACTGCATCTCTGAGAGCGTGACCCGGCCCCGCCACCGCCGCCTCGGAGCCGAACGGAGACGCCCTCATGGGGCCCGCCGCGGGGCCAGATGATAAAATACTGTTGGTGGTGATGATGGTGATGATCATGATGGTAATGATAAAATACTGTTGGTGGTGATGATGGTGATGATGATGTTACTGATGTATATGATGATGTTGATGCTGATGCTGCTGATAATGATGTTTATGCTGGTGATGGTTATGAGGATGGTGATGGTAATGGAGATGGTGATGGTGATGATGGTGATGCTGAGGGTGATGAAGATGTGGATGTGGGTGGTGATGACGATGATGATGATGAGGAGGAGGAAGAGAAGGAAAAAGATGAGGAAGAGATGGAGGACGGGGCTCCACCTCCGTCTCCTCGTCGTCCTCTTTCCGTTCGCCCTCTCCCTCTGGAGCCTTGCGCCTACACGCGGGGAGGCGCAGGTGGGCGAAGGCAGCGCGCACATCACGAGGAGCAGGGAGTGGTGGGCAGGGGGCTTTGGTGGAGGACGCGGAGAAGGACGAGGAGGAGGGGATTTGCGGGTGAACGGGTTCTGGATGATCGAGGGGGGGAGAACAGGAGGAGGAGGAAGAAATGGAGCGTGGCGGAAGAAGTCACCCGGGAAGAGCAGGAGGAGGCGGAGGAGGAGAAAAGGATGGTAGAGATGGGGGGAGAAGGATCTGGAAGGGGAGACGTCGGAGGGGCGGAGGAAGACCTGGAGAGGGGAGAGAGTAGGCGGAGGAGGATGGAGGGGAGAAGAGGGAACGGAGGGATGAGAGAATACGGGAAGAACCGGGAAGAAGCGGACACCCCCCCGCCTGTCTCTCTCTGTGTCGTTGGGTGCTGGGCCTTCGTTTTGACGAAACAGCGCCCACCATCTCCTCCTCCTTCCTCCTCCTATCCTCTCCTCTCCTCTCCTCTCCTCTCCTCTCCTCTCCTCTCCTCTCCTCTCATCTCCTCCTTCCTACTTTCCCCCTTCCTTCTCCTATCCGTGCCTCTGCCCCCCGCGCCTAGTACGGCGTTTCGTGGCCCCATAGGGAGCTCCACCGAAAGCCCCAATGGCTGTGTTCACATGCGTCCCGCGCCACCCAGTACAGCATTTCGTGGCCCCATAGGATTGCCCACCGGCGACCCCAGCAACTGTGTTCACATGCGTTCCGCGTCACCCAGTACGGCGTTGCGTGGCCTCATAAGGAGCTCCACTGAAGGCCCCAGTGGCTGTGTTCACATGCGTCCCGCGCCACCCAGTAGAGCCTTTCGTGGCCCCATATGGAGCACCACCGAAGGCCACAGTGGCTGTGTTCACATGCGCCCCGCGCCACCAAGTAAGGCGCTTCGTGGCCCCATAGGGAGCACCATCGAAGGCCACAGTGGCTGTGTTCACATGCGCCCCGCGCCACCAAGTAAGGCGCTTCGTGGCCCCATAGGGAGCTCCACCAGCGGTCCCAATAGCTGTGTTCAGATGCGTCCCGCGCCACCCAGGAAGGCGGTTCGTGGCCCCCTGGGGAGCTCCACCGCAAGCACCAGGTTGTGTTCACATGCGTCCCGCGACACCCAAGACGGAGCTTCGTGGCCCCATAGCGAGATCCACCGAAGGCTTCAACGGCTGTGTTCACATGCGTCCCGCGCCACCCCGTACGGCACGCGGGGGACGAAGGATTGCAAAAAGGATTGCAAAAAAACCCAGAATTGCAAAAAAAAAAAAAAAAAAACCTTTTGTACGAAGGATTGCAAAAAAAACATGTTTGAAGGATTGCAAAAAAAACCTTTTTTGCAATCCTTTTTGCAATCCTTCGTTCACGGACACCGTGCGGGACACAGCTGGCTTTTCACCTGAGACCACGAACCTCCGATTCAGGATCCAGGGAGACCCCCACCAGGCCTTCGGAGAACACTATACGTGTGTATACACACATCGGACCTCTACAGACACCAGGTAAGGCTTCCCCTCTTCAGATGGCAATTGGCGCATCTGGATTTCAAATTGTATTTGAATAGGCCCTGATCCGAAATCATTGGGTCTTCGCGTTGGCCAGAACCCATGAGAAATGGCAAGCACCTCGTGCCGGTTGGCTCCCAGGAGGGCTCTGTGCGAAAATCCTCATGGGAATAATACAAAACTCGACCAGCTGGTCGAGGCAAGGAATGCCCAACACACACACACACACGGATTGAACGTAGGGTGGACGTAATGTGTAAAAATACATACATATATATGTACATGTAAGTACGCATGTATGTACATCCATGCGCACATGTAGGTGAAAACTAGAGAGCTGCGCCAACAACCAGGAAGCAACAAACCGCCCATGATCAGTGCGGCAAAACATAGTCTGTTGCAGCCGAGCTGCGCCAACAGCAGAGTCTGTTGCAGAAGCAACTGCGCCCGCGAAGCTGGCCAGGAAGCCACAGAGCTGCGCCAACGACACGGTCTGCTGCAGAAGCCGCTGCGCCCATGGCCGGTGCGGCAAACGTGCGGGCACAGACGGGAGCGAGGTGACCACGCGTGCGAGCACATGCACGGGATGGCGGCCCACGGCGGCCATCGGCTGCGGCGGCTGCAGCGGCGGCCCAGCTGGGGGATCGGCGGCCCTCCAGGGCGAAGAGCGCGCGGCTAGAACTTCGAGACTCCGAGGCTTCGGCGGTGATCGGCACTCTTGGGCCTCCCTGGATCTGCGCATCTCGATGCAATTACGAGTCTCATCGCTGCTGTGAGGCTCAAGCTGCTCTGGCGGCTGGCAAAGCTGTACCTCGGTCGCGGGCCCCGCTTCAAATCCTCTCTTTCGTACCCCCTCACCCTCTCGCAGATCCCACGTTCCGATTCCTCATCCAAACAGCGCGAGAGCGACCCTTCCCATCTCGCTGGATGCTCACGCTTGACGGCGCCGCGCGCCCGAATGATGGCGATCGCTGTTCGGGCTAGACGGTGTATCTAGGACGCGTGCCGTTGCCGCCCTCCTCCTGCACACCCAAGGGCACGTATTCTCGCCAACCCGCCAACTAGGCATACGCATACAACCACTCCGCTCCTCCTGCCAAGGCCAAGGCTGCGGACACTGTCGAGCGGTGATGCCCCTGTTCCCTGGCGCGCACCTCTCCTTTTCCTCCTCCACCAGTCATCCCTTCTGAGATTCCCCGCTGGGAACCTGATATCGCATGGCCGGCTCCAATGACATGACTCTCAGAAACCTCTCCGGGTGGCATCGCTTGTTCCCGCCGGCTTCCGCCAACGACACCGCGCCCGACTGACGTCCGCCGTCCTGCGCTGGCCTTCCGCCGCAGAGATGAAGCAGGCCGCATCGGTCCCTCGAAGGCGTGGCCCATGTCTGGAGCGCCCCACCTGGGCACCCTCCCCCGGCAAGACTGCGCGCAACACGGGTGGGCCACCCAGAGCTCTTTCTCCGACTCGCCGCGCCGGCCGTGCAGGTGCCCCCGGCCGCCGGGTTGCCGCCGCGCCCCGGCAGGGGAACGAGGGGGGAGGGAGGAGAAGGAGGAGCAGAAGGGGGAGGAGGCGGAGGAGAAGGAGGAGGAGGAGGAGGAGAAAGAGGAGGAGGAGGATCTCATCCCCCGCTTGCAATCCCCGGGAGGACGAGGGGGAGGATGGTGGAGGCGCGGCCCAGCTCATTCCAGCTCGACGACCGCAAGCGTGCACTCGCAGACCACACCGCCGCACTCCACCACACCAGGGCAGCGGCGCAACCTCGTGGTGGTAGCGAGCCAGAAACCTCAGCATACCAGCTTGATTCGAGCGCCAGGACTGCGAAACGACTACTCTTGATGAAGATAAGATCTCCAGGCGTTGATCGAGGAGTCTGGAGGCCCACATCACGAAACGATCGTGACGCCGAATGTATATAACCGCTCAGCACAGGCAGTGCCGTCAGAATCCACACACACACACACGTGTTAGCCAGCGTGAACACCAAACAGTGGTTTCTTTAATACTAGGTGATGAAGTCTACGTGATGCAAGCAATGTGGTGGAAGCTATGTGGTACAAACTGAATCATGCAGTCTACGTGGTGCAGTCTATGTGGTGCGGTTTATAGCGTGAGCTGTGTACTGCCATCTATGTGGTGCAATCCATGTGGTGCGATCTCTGTGGCATAATCTACGTAGTGCAATCCAAGTGGTGCAATCTATGTTTTACAATCCATGTGGTGTGAGCGATTTGGTGTACGCTACGTGGTGCAAAACATGTCGAGCCAACGTACTCTTCCCGGTGATGTGAGCAGTGTGGTTTACGCTATGTGTTACATATCTGGTCCGATCTATGGGGTGTGCGATATGTAGTGCACTGTCTGTGGTGCAATCCATGTGGCGCGATCTATGTGGTGCAGACTACGTGCGCAGTGCAATTTCAATCTAAGTGGTGCAAGCTATGCAGTGGTGCGGCGACGAAGCGGCGGTGACGACGGGCGGCGACGCGGCGGCGACGGCCCACGACGAGCGGCGACGGGGAGATGACAAGCCAGCCGGGGCGATACACGAGCCTGGGCCCTTTGAAGACACATAATAACACCAAAGTGCTAGCACGGTTTCGAAAAACAGAGAATGGACGATTGTGTTGATTTGTGACAGCTGGCAGGAACATCATACCAAGAAGACAATCACATTGATGGCGAAAGTGCGGTGGACGTTGTGGTAATGCTGAGGCGTTGGTTTTGTCTCCACAGGGTGAACCCGCAGCCGGCGCGCCGCATCTTGCTGACACTGACATCACACATGCAATATTTGCCTGCGCTCTGTCAGCGCACGTCCGGGGGAGTGACCACGAGCTTGGAGAGCGGCTGAGCAGAGGCGGCCGAGAAGGCCACTCGACTCCAGGTTCGCGCTGCGAGGAGGTCCGCTTCAGAAGCCTCTCGCAGCTGAAGGGCCTGCGACGCGGACCAGCTGAGCTGGCGCGCCCAGTCCCTCGGCCGAAGCGTGCTGCCACGGCGTGTCCTCTGCAGCAGCGTCGGCTACGAGCCCCTGTCGAGGGAGGCAAAAGGAAAGCAAAATGCGAGCGCAGGCCCTGCCCGCGGGCCGAAGCCGGAGGCCCGCGGACAACTCTCGAGAGCGGCGGCGCGGGGAGAAAGCCCCGAGCAGCAGACTCGCGGGGGCCGGCACCGTGACCCGCTCGCGCGCACGTCATCGCTACCTGCCCGGCCAGGGCAGCGCACCCCCGCCCACAGTGTGGCTCATGACCTTGCGCAGGAACCTAAACGGTGTCTTTCGTTTTCGTTATGTTTTCGCTTTCCCTCGCTCTTGTCTCGAGTCCGCCCTTTACCGCAACACGACATCGAAACGAAGGCGGCCCACGAAATCTCCGAAAAAACACCGCTCAGGTCCAGCCCCGACCTTGCGGACGGCGACGCTCCCGGCCTGGTCCTCCCGGCGCCGCGGGCCGCGCGCCGACTGCGAGGCGCGCTCCGCCTCGACGTACTGCAGCTGCAGCGTGCCCCCCGCCTGCTTGGCGGTGACCACCTTCGGGAGCAGGCCGCCGTTGGCGGCGGCGGGCGGCTGCAGCGCCCGCCCGCTGGTCGCCACCATCTCCTCGACCTGGCCCAGCAGCTGCCGCGAGCTGAGCTGGACCTGGCTCTGGATCTCGCTGATCCTGAGGCGAGAGAACGATGTCACGGTGTCACGAACGGGCTGGCTCGAGACACCGTTCCCGGATTTCAGGGAGCAGCTAGCAGCCCACGTTTCTGGGGCCCGCGCGAAGCAGCAGGAAATCCGGGATGGTTTCTTGCTCCTCCGAGGTCCTGTGATCAAAGGCCTCCCTGGTGACCCATTTGCTGCCCGCGACTAACTGGCGTGCAGCCGCCGCGATCATCACCTGCACCCGCGAGAGGGTCAGCGAGCCGGCGCCGTCGCTGGACTCGCCCTCCCCAGGGGAGACGCTCTCCACCAACACGTTGATGCGCTGGGCGATGTCGATGTGCGTAGCAAGCTGCATCTTGACACTGTCCAAGTCTGCCTTGCTAAGACCGACCTCTTGCTTGAGCTTCTGGACTGCCTGAGTGGCATGCTCGATGTCCTGGCCCAACTTCTCGGTCTGCTCCACCGGCAGCCCCTGAAGCGTGGCCATCCCACCGCCCGCGTCGCCGCCCACGGCCACCCCGCCATTAATGAGAGCCTGAATCTTGTTCTCAAGTAGCATGAGCTTGTCCTCCATGCCTAGGATAATGCGCTTCACGACAACGTTCACCTCGGGACCAGAACTCTCTGTGAGCGCCTTCGAGCTGCTTTTGATCGCAATCTCCAGCAACTTCACCTTCTCCGACAGCGCGGTTAAATCCTTGACAGTGGCCTTTTCAGACTGAAGCGTTTTCACCTCCATCTCGAACCTCTTACCCACTTCCTCCATCTTTATGGACAGCTTCTGTGTGGCGTTGAATGAATTGGTCGTGACGTCCTGTATGCTCTTGGTCAATTTCTGCGCATCCACCTTGATCCCGGAGACCTCCTGCCAGAGCTTTGTGATATCGTTCTTGTTGACTGCACTCGACTCCGCTTTCCGCACCTGCATCGCGAGCCTGTCGTTCAGCTGCTCGACGAACTTGATCGCGCCCTCTCAGACAAGACAGACGGGGGGAGCTGTGCTGCTCACCCCCTGGGGGGAACCCGTCGTCGTAACGACGATCTCGCTTGAGGAGTGTCAAAATCAACGGGTTCCCCAAAGGGGTAAAGAGCCACAACTCCCCCAGTTGTGGCCGCTTTGGAACAACAGAACTCAGAACAACATCAACATAAGCGTTTGGAAATTCGCGCGGATTTTGGGTCGAAGCTGGATTCCGAATCTCCCCACCCCTTGCGGCGACTGAGGTGCCGCCAGATGTTAGGAGAGCGGGATCCAGCGCTGGCCTAGCGTATCCGCGCGGACCTCCGAAAGTTTATGCGTATATGGTTGTGTGTTCTACGATGGTCTGCCTCTGCTGAGTCAATCCTCGACTCCAGCTTGGCGGGGTCGAACGTGTCAAAAAAGGCCACCTTCACCGCGAGGCCCTGGACCTGCTGCTTGTCTGCCTCTGCCCGGGGGCGGTTGTGCACCCCCGAGGGCCACGGGCCCATGGCACGCACAACCGAACGGCCCTCCCTCAGGCCCATTCAAAAGCACGACGACTAGGCCTTGACTCTTTTTGTTCGATCAGCCTCCCGGCCCGCCTCGCCTACCGAACTCACAGAGGCCGCAAGGTCCCAAGTGTCCTTTTTTTCCCCAACCCTCCTGTGGTGTGGGGTCCGCGTTTTGAAGAGACAGCGCCCCGAGTCTACTCTCTTCCTCTCCTGCTCTCCTCCCCTCCCTCCTCCCCCTCCTTGTCCTCATGTCGTTATCGTCCTCACCATCGTCATCATTACCATTATCATCATCATCGTCATCATCGTGACCAGCGTCGTGATCAGCATCGTGATCATCATCGTCATCGCCATCATCATCATCATCATCATCATCATCATCATCATCATCATCATCATCGTCATCATCATCATCATCATCATCATCATCATCATCATCATAATCATCATCATCATCATCATCATGATCAGCATCAGCATCAACATCGGCATCGCCGCCATCACTATGATGTCGGAGTTGCAATTGGAGTTCACACGTTTCGTGGCCCCATCGGGATCTCCACGGAAGGCTCCAAAGGCGGTGACCACATGCGTTCCTGCCGACCCACCCCTCACACGTTCCGCGCCCTCAATGGGATCTCCACCGAAGGCCCCAATGGCAAAACTCGCATGGCGGCCCCGCCCCCACTTCGGCCTACCCCTTCACATGTTCCGTGGCCCCAAAGGGAGTTCCACCGAAGGCCTCCGTTGGAAAGTTCGCATGGCGGCCCCGCCCCCACTTCGGCACACCCCTTACACCGTTCGTGACCTTATAGGGAGCTCCACAGAAGGCCTCATTGGCAAAGTTCGCATGGCGGCCCCGCCCATACTTCGGCACACCATCACACGTCTTGTGGCCCCATGAGGAATTCCACTGGAGGCCCCATTGGCAAACTTCGCATCGCACACCAACCCACCAACTTCGGCACACCACTCACACGCTTCGTGGTCCCATAGTGGGCTGAACCGAAGGCCCAGTGGCAAAGCTCGCACACACCTCGCACATTTCGTGGCCGCATAGGGAGCTTCACCGGATGCCCCAGTGGCAAAGTTCGCATGGCGGTCCCTCTTCTATCTCGGCACACCCTCACACGTCTCGCGATCCCATACTCAGCTCAACCGAAAACCCCACTGGCAAAGTTCGCACGGCGGCCCTGCCAACAATCGGCACACCCTGCACACGCTTCGCGGCCCCATAGGTAGCTCCACCGGAGGCCCCAGCGACAGGGTTCGCGCGGCGCCAACGCCTGAAATTTCGGTTAGCCCCTCAAACGCTTCGTGGCCCAATTGCGGAAATCACGGAAAACCCAGCGGTCGGATTCGCTGGTGGCGCCACGTCCACTAGATACTCTTGATGGAGACGATGATGATGATGTCTATGACGATGATGATGGCGATGGTGACGACGATGGCCATACGAGGATGAGGCGGGGTAGTCTGAAGATCGGGCCCATCGCGATCCCGCCCCCCGAAACCCCGCTCATAAGATTACTGAAGGAACGTGAACGGATGGAGTTTCAAGTCGCCTTTTCGGCGGCCTCCGTTTGTTTTCGTTGTTTTTGGCTTCTGAATCGCCCACGACGACGTACTGAAACGACATCGCTTCCGACCTGGAGCGCCAAAGACGACAGCCTGAAGCCCCTCGTCGGCGACCTGAAACGCCGCGACGAAAGCCTCGCGGGGGACCTCACGGGCCCACTGGTGTCCATCGAGCCTCGCGCGTCGGAGCCGCTCACCTTCCGCGCCCCCCATTTCAAGACACCCGAACAAGCTTCCCGCTCTCGCGCGGCAGGGTCATCGCCACGGTGGCGTGCCAGGGGCGCACCATGCGAAAGGCGACAAGGCGACGGAACGGCGCAGCAGGGCAGTCTACGGCCAAAGCTTTTGGGCGCGAGCAGTCCGCAACCAGACCTTTTCCCATCGGTGGACAAACCTCCCTTTAATCAGCCTCCCCGACGGACCTGGACCCGCAAAAATGACGGCCGCGACGCCCTTTCGCGAACAGAAAACGGCCAATTCTTTAAACGACGTGTCAGGGAAGGAGGTCTATCCACCTCCTGTCCTGTGGACTCTCGCCCTGGGCCGTCAGCTGTCTGGCGCGCTGATCCCTCGGCCGACATCGCCCAGGCGTGATCCTGGACTTCGGCCGCCACGAGGCCGGGAAAAGGCAAACAGGAGGACGACGACTGGTGGCTGAAGCTCTACGCGCTGCTTTCGCGCGCCACGCGCCACAAGGACTTCCTGCTCATGCGGGCGCCGCGCATCGAATCCATCCTGGCAGGGCCGCTGGACGGCTTGCGGAAGCAGCTGGAGCAGTTTGCTGCGCGCACGAAGCGGCGCAGAAGGGAGGCGACGGCCCTCGCCAGGGAGCTGGGTTTCACCGAGTTTTGCCGCGGGGCTTGACCCGATGAGCGGCCCTCCCCAACTGCGCCTTGTCTCGACTGTCCAACTGCTTGGCCTCGCGCCGCGGACAACCCGCGCGCGTCGCTGGGACCCTCTCAGGGCGAACAGCGCGCGTCGCGGGAACTCCGTGGAACGCTCTGCCCAGCGCCTCGCACCCCCGTCGTCGCTCTGACCAGCGGCCAGAGCCTGGTCCGCTATCAGCCAACCAGCTCTGACGTTCTTTGCTCTGCGCCGCGGACGACCCGCGCGCGTCGCTCGGACCCCTTCGGGCCGACCAGCGCGCATCCCGGGGACTCTGTGCTGCGCTGCGTTTGCAGCCATGGTCATTGGAGTGCGCGGGTAAAAAAAGGAAATAATTACTCCGACGGACGGACCCCGCATGAGAATCTGTTTAGCTTGCCCTTACACTTTCCTCCTCGCCCCAGCGGCCTGCGGGGTTGTCCCAAAGGCTTCGCGAACAAGCCGTCGGGGAATGCGCGCGCTCTGGCCGCGGCGGCGACGGCGCCGAGAAACATCGATTTGCTTGCCCCGACCAGGGGGAAGGGGAGGAGCGCGCGGACAAGAAACAGGGGACGGACGAGGACGGGGAAGGGGCAGGGAGGGGGTGATGATGAGGAGGAAGTGGAGAAGGAGGAGGAGAAATATAAGGAAGGGGAGTAGGTGAGGGCAGAACGGCGGGCGAGAGGAGAGTGTCCGCCAGGGCGAGGAGGAAAAGGGTACGGGCAAGCTAAACATATTCTCATGTGGTGTCCTTCCGTCGGAGAAATTACAGGTTGCCGATGACCCGCTCGGATTACCAACGTGAAATGCGGGACCCATAGGGAGGGGGTTCCCGCCTGAGACTTCCTCACAATTCACTCACAGACGAAGCTCCCGCTTGATACTTCCTCCAAATTCAAGCTTGCGGAGCCCAAACATGACGACAGTTACATGTTGCGGATGACCCGCTCGGATTACCAACGTGAAGCGCGGGACCCATGAGGAAGGGGCTGCCGCCTGAGACTTGCTCCCAATTCACCCACAGACGAAACTCCCGCTTGATACCCCCTTCAAATTCAGGCCTGAGGAGCCCAAGCGCGACGACAATTACAGGTTGCCGATGACCCGCTCGGATTACCAACATGAAGTGCGGGACCCATAAGGAGGGGGCTCCCGCCTGAAACGTCCTCACAATTCACTCACAGTCGAGGCTCCCGCTTGATACGTCCTCCGGATTCAACCTTGCGGAGCCCAAACATCACGACAATTACATGTTGCCGATGACCCGCTCGGATTACCTACATGCAATGCGGGACCCATAGGGAGGGGGCTCCCGCCTGACATTTCCTTACAATTCATTCGCAGACGAGGTTCCCGCTTGGTACTTCCTCCAAACTCAAGCCTGACGAACCCAAAAGTGGCGACAATTACAGGTTGCCGATGGCCCGCTCGGGTTACCTACGTGAAATGCAGGACCCATAGGGAGGGGGCTCCCGCCTGAGACCTCCGCACAGTTCACTCACAGACGAGGCTCCCGCTTGATACTTCCTCCACCTTCAAGCCTAAGGAGCCCAAGCGTGACGACAGTTACAAGTTCCCGATGACCCGCTCGGACTACCAACGTGGAGTGCGGGACCCGTAAGGAGCGGGCTCCCGCCTGATACTTCCTCACGATTCAACGACGGTTACAAGTTGCCGATGACCCGGTCGGATTACCAACATGAAATGCGGGACCCATAAGGAGTGGGCTCCCGCCTGATACTTCCTCACGATTCAAACACAGACGAAGCTCCCGTTTGATACGCCCTCCAAATTCAAGCCTGAGGAGCCCAAAAATGACGACAGTTACAAGTCGCCGATGACCCGCTCGGATTACCTACATGTACTGAGGGACCCATAGGGAAGGGGCTCCCGCCTGAAACTTCCTCGGGTGACATAAGCGAGTGGCGGTAATGAGTGAGTGAGTGGGGAATGATGGTGATGGTGATGGTGATGGTGATGATGGTGATGATGATGATGATGATGATGATGATGATGATGATGATGATGATGATGATGATGATGATGAGTGGGGAATGATGGTGATGGTGATGATGATGAGGAGGAGGAAGCAAGGAGGAGGAGAGGAAAGGGAGAAGGAGGAGGAGAGATCCTGCGCGGAGGGTGTGCAGAGAAAACACGAACCCCACTTAGGATGTGGGGAAGAAAGGAAGGAAGCGGGCGCGATCCTTGTGAGGGGCGTGTCGACATGGCCGTCGCGGCGCTCGGGCGCTGCAACTGGGTTTTCCACGGAAGCTCCCACAGCGGCGGCCATGCTCAGTGTCACGAGTAACTCAAACTCGGTCATGTTCAAACCATTCCCATTCACTTATATTCACACTAGGATTGGTCATGCTCGCCTTCATGCACATAGACTTCCTCGCACGCAGACTCATTCACAATCAAACTCACTCGCGTTCAGACTCACCGGCGCTCAGCCTCTCGTGCTCATGCCTATCGTCTTCGCTCGCGTCGTGTACCTCGCCACACATCCGGCGCACCCTTCACAAAGTCGGTAGCCCCATCAGGAACGCCACCGATGACGATAGAATTGCGGTACTAACAATTGCATATGATTGGGTCCTTCGCTGGGCTACTTTCCAGAGCATATGTGGGGGGAAGAAGGAGGATGACTGGGAACACGACGATTCGCCACAAGAACACACTAGCCCTCCGTGGAAGAAAAGCGGCAGGAATGTCACAAGGCTGAACAACGGACACTACCACACTTCCTACGAAGTGGCAGCCGCGAGAGGAATGAGGCAGGAAAGGCAACTGCATCAGCCAAAGAGACTCGCGCGAAATCCCATTTGTGCCTGGTCATCCCTGGGAATCCAGCCTCGCAGAGCCCCGCCAGGAAAGCGCCACGAGTGACGCCGCACCTCGACAACCCAGCTTACTGCGGTCGCCAGGGCCCAATATACACAGGTGGTCCCTGAGGATCCTGGCTCGCGAGCCCCACCAGGGAGGCGTCACGGCGCAACGCCGTCAAGGCCTAACGGCGTCACGCCGTCCACTAACGTCTAGAACAAACATAACGAACTCGTTTTACTAGCAAGCGCAAATTACAGACCTCAGCACGACACCCAATAGCATATACGAATGTCAATACATCAAGAAAATCCGCCGCTTACGCACATTAAAGAACCACCATCTATGTACATCAAGGCTGCACGCCTGGAAAGTGCAACCAACAACACGCACCAATAAAACGCATCACGAACGCGCACCAACATCGCACTTGCCTAACACACATCAGCGGAACCCGTCAATATCGCAATCAATGTTCACACGTCGGTGCCATGCACACATAGCATGCGTCCATCAATCACATACAGAAGTTGCGAGCATTAATCACGCACGTCAAGAACATGCACTGGTACTCGACAGCAGGATCAATCGCCAGCACCATGAATGCAACAACAAGGTGCTACACGAACGAATGCACGACGCCCAGAATCAAGAAAGTGCACCACTGACACAAGGAACGCGCACCGAGAACACACACGCACACTCACACCGATTACATACAATAGTACTGTAAACCAGCCGCATGCGCCGATAACAAATAGAACCATCATATCATATCCGTGGGCCCCCTTGGGAGGCCACCAGGCTGCGAAGATCGGGTTCCAGCTATGTGTAACAAACCTTCAAATCGTGTCTTGACATTCTCAATTTCCAATTCCAACGGTATAATATACGTGGTGTTTCGTCCTGCAAACTGTAACAAACCGTTCGAGGGAAAGACCCGCCACTCTGCTTAGCACGGCCTCCCGAGTTTCTCAATATTCCCTAGGTCTTGGGACACGCGAGGTTCGCGCCCCTGGGGCCATAATCCTTTCGCAAAATCAACAACACTTGCGCCCCAGATGCCACGATCCCTAGTAAGTGGCTCCCAAGTTCACGCCACAGCAAGCACGACCCGTGGTGATTCACAGAAGATCTGCGCCCCCGAGGCAACGATCCGTAACACATGACAGCGGATTCGCGCACCCGAGGCCACGATCCCTAGTACATTAAAGCAGATCCGCGCCCCAAAGGCCACGATCCCTTATAAATTACGCATCGCTCGCGCCCAAGAAGCCACGCCACGGCCTCGAACCCATGCAAACTACGCCAGATTCGGGCTGGCGAAGCAGCTAGACTTCGTAATTCATGCGCGAGTCGAGCCCCCGATGCCATTAATCCCTCGCAAAGGATCTTCGATGAATTACACTGTGCTCGCGCCCCCGAGGCCACGATCCCGAATGAATCACGCCAGATTCGAGTCCCCGAGGCCACGCTGCCAGCTAAATCACGCCAGAGTCGCGTCCCCAGCGCCACAATCCTCGTAAATTGCACCAGGTCTCTGGGGCGACGACCCTTGCAAATTACACTAGCGTCGCGCCCCCGAGGTCACGATTTCACGTCAATGGCGTCACGATTACCAACCGTCCTCGCATGAGGTTCCGATATTATTCAGAGGCGGCGCCCAGGCATCCCACCATATCCCTGACGAATCCCATCCTGATAGAGAGGGGGCCAGCGGCAGAGGGCGAGGACCTCTGAGATAAATCAGACCAGACAACAAACACATACATCGGACAAAACTCTTCCAATCATGCACCAGAGCTATACCGCGACCTCGTGCAACACGAGCACACGCCAACCACACTAACCAACAACATGCATCAGCATGACAGGCTGGTAACGTGCACATTCAGCATGCCAGCAATAACATGCAACATTTACGTATAGCAATAGCGCTCGTCAACAACACGTGCAAGTAGCATAGACAGTACCAACAACCAATACCATGTGTCGATATTCGCAACAAAGAGCAGGCCTCAACACCATCCAGGCAGAACGCGCTGCACATTTTGAAACACAAGAGCTAGCAACAATGACAACAGTACGGCGACCACACCCATCAACATCACAATGCCCCTCTTCGCGCCTTCGCGTCGAGCTTCGACTCCGAAGCCTTTTTGGTGTCCCTGAGCTCCACCACCATCCGGTCCATCCGGTCGGCTAGCTCGGCGATCTGGGGCAGCACCACCTTCGAGGGTCTCCCAAGGGAGATTGGAGAGGGATCGGCATTTTAGGCCCTCTGGGACCACACTCGTCACCACGGCTGCATTCGACTCGAGGTCCTGGTCAGAGCACACTTCGAGGAGCTCTCCTGGGAGGAAGGGGAGGGGAGGATAGAGCAGGAGGGAAGATACACTGTGGGAAGGATGAGTTGAATCCCGCCGGCCCTGTTGGTCGTGAGTAGTTTCAAGCGCACATTATTCCAACCCCCTTCTTCCACTGCGGGGAGGGATTTACCCCTCTCTTTACCCTCTCCCCCTGGATCTGGACAGGTGGGTTCGCGACCGATTGGGGCGTCCAAGATGGCCTCGGCGAGAAAGCGCAAATCATGCATTCGACTTAGATGTTGGGCCCATTTCGGCCTCCTGGGGGCGCCCAATGTGGGATGCCCCCTTCTCTGGTCGAACTCCTCCAAGATGGCCTCAATATACCTCACAACGCTCCCAAGAGTGCCCCAAGAGGGCCTCAGTGGCGCCCAAGAGGTCCTTTTCCTTTCCAGCTCGAGGGGTCCAGATTCAAGCGAAGCACTGGATCAGCACTGACTTCGACATCAAAGCACCGCATCACCTCTAAACTCCGCCCGAGGTTGTACCCAGAGGAGGCTTCACCTACGAAGCCGACGATCGAAACTGCAGAGATGTGGGCCACTCTCTCAGCCCACGGCTGCACAGGCCCCGCAGGCACACCCTCGAGGCACGCAACCCCATGGAAGGGTGGCCCGCCTCAGGCGCGGGGAAAACGAGAGCTAGAACCCTTGTCTTTCCCACTACGACCACTCCTCCCTTTGCCTCCTCGAGCACGTCTGGGGATTTGAATGCTAAACTGCGATCCCCCGAGAGGTCCCCGAGAGGTCCGCAAGGGGCTCTCAAGAGACCGCCAAGAGGTTCCCCCGATGCGCCCAAGACGATATACGAGGCCTCCAGGACCGCCACGAGGCCCCCAAGACGCTCCAAGAGGAATCACAGACACTTTCAATGTACATCCGAAAGACTCCGAGAAACATCCAGGAGACCTCTGGCTATTCTGCTCCTCCTCCTCCTCCTCCTCCTCGTCATCCTCCTCTTCCTCATCCGTCTATTCCTCCCGTGTGATCCAGTGCGCTACCCGCCTGGCCTTTCGTCCTCACTCTCATCGAGCACACACCATGCGAAGCCGCGCGTCGCATCAACCCCGTCCCCCTTCCTCTACCCTTCCTCCTCCGATTCCTCCATCCTCCCCCTCTTGAGGTATGACGGCTTCCCCAACTCCTGAGTTCACTGCGTGTTCCTCCGCATACCTGATCAGGGCAACTCGCCCGGCCATCGTTACTGGATGAGCTGGTGGGGTTTCGCGAAGCGTCTAGAATTGGGAGGACAAAAGGACCTCCTTTTACACTTCACCCTATTTGTCTCATCCTCTCCCTTCTCCATCTCTGTTCCAACATTCCCCCTGGTTTCACTCCCCCAGCTCCTCCTCCTCCTCCTACTCCTCCTCCTTCAGCCGATCGACAGGCTGGTCGAGGACTCCAGCGAAGGGCCCCACAAGGAGGTGCTTAAGAAGTATTAACGACTGTTCCAGACGGAATAAGATCCGAAATTCGTGAAGGATGTCTTCGGCAGCTTCCGCGTGAAGGAGGCGCACAGCGAGGAGGGCGCGGAGGAGAAGGACATCATGGCGAAGATGAGCTTCAGCATCCACCCGATGGCGGACGTCATGATTCTGGTCGTGTGCTTGCGGGTGAATGTCGAGGGCGACCTTCAAGGCCTCGGCATCCTGAGGAGGGCGATGATGAAGGCGTTCGAGGAGGCGGGGGGAGTTGCAATCGACGGGCTCGCGCCAACGCACGAGCTGATCAGTGTGGTGGAGAGGTAGGTGCACGGGCTGCAGCGGATGAGGTGATCGGCCGCGAGGTTGCCCACACACATCGTGCAGCTCGAGAGGCTGCGCAGACTGGCGGAAGGTGGCCGTGTCCATGCGCAGCGCCTGCTGGCTATCGCTGAGCGGGTGAAGGATCGGCGTTGCGGGGAGGCTGCGCCCATCATCATCACCATCACCATCACCATCACCATCATCATCACCATCACCATCACCATCACCATCGCCATCACCATCATCATCATCATCATCATCATCATCATCATCATCATCATCATCATCATCATCATCATCATCAACATCTCGATTCCTCCCGCCGGCCTCCGCGAAGCGATGGCCCCCCCCCCGGCAACGATGATAACGACGGCATCATCTTTGCGCCTGGCGCCACCGTGCGCGGCCCAAGGGGCCACGAGGATCCCGAGAGGCGCCGCCTCTCGGGATCCTCGTGGCCCCTTGGGAGACTGGCTGGGAGACTGGCCGACCCCGTGGAGGACTTCTGACCCGCGGGCCGGCACCCAGAATCCGCACGTCGTGACGCAGCGACCGCCGCCGGGCAGGCGGCCTGCGAGGGGCAGCTCGCCTCTGGGCAGACGGCCACGGGGCACGCTGGGCACTCGAGGGCGTGCCCGCGGTCCCCAGGGGCCGCCGCCTCGGGCGCAGACCACCAGCCGCCGGTGAGGCCCCCGACGAAGGCAGCGATCGCGGCGGCGGGGGCGCTGAGGCCGCCGGCCCCCCCCATAAAAAGGCAGAAAAACTGCGGAGCTCTACGATTATTATCGTGATAATGTGAAGGCTCCTCCTCCTCCTCCTCCTCGTCGTCGTCGTCGTCGTCGTCGTCATCGTCATCATCATCATCATCATCATCATCATCATCATCATCATCATCATCATCATCATCATCATCATCATCAGCATCAGCATCAGCATCAGCATCATCATCATCATCATCATCATCGTCATCGTCATCGTCATCGTCATCGTCATCGTCATCGTCATCATCATCATCATCATCATCATAACATCATCATAATCATCATCATCATCAGCATCAGCATCAGCATCAGCATCATCACCATCCTCATCATCATCATCCGAAGCAACAGTAGCAGCAGCAGCAGCTCATCATCATCATCATCACCACCATCATCATCATCATCATCATCATCATTATCATCAGCATCACCATCATCATCGTCAGCATCATCATCGTCATCATCATCATCATCATCCTCATCTTCGTCAGCACCATCGTCAACATCATGTTCATCGTCACCAGCAGCAGCAGTATCATCGTGATCATGATCATGGTCATGATGACAATCATCATCATCATGATCAGGATGGCCATCATCATCATCGTCATCATCAACATCATCAGCGTCGTCAGCATCAACATCATCAACAGCATCACCATCATCAGCATCAGCATCAGCATCATCAGATTCATCTTCATCACCATCATCATCATCAACCGCAGCAACAGCAGCAACAGCAGCAGCAGCAGCTCATCATCATCATCATCATCATCAGCATGATCATGATCATGATCATCATTATCATCATCATCAGCATCCTCATCCTCATCCTCATCATCATCATCATCGTCATCAACACCATCGTCAACATCATCATTACCACCAGCATAACCAGTATCATCATCATCATCATCATCATGATCATGATGACAATTTTATCATCATCGTCGCCATCATCAACATCATCAGCATCACCATCCTCATAAGCATCAACATCAGCATCAGCAATTGCATCATCATCATCATAATCAGCATCAGCATCAGCATTATCAGCATCAGCATCAGCATCAGCATCATCATCATCGTCATCATCACCATCATCATCATCATCATCGTCATCATCACCGTCATCTTCATCACCATCATGATTATCGTCATCGACAACAGCATCGTTATATTGCCTTCCTCTTCTGGTCCCCCTGCTTTTCCTTCGTTTCTCTTCTTCATCTTCCCTCTCCTCGCTCTCTCCTCTTCCTCCTTCTGGAAGCCCTGGAAGCCCAAGCCTTGTCGACGCGCTTCGAGATCCGGTCCAGGCTCCGGTCGGTGTTGGGGCTGGGTGGGAACTCCGCCACCTGCACAGACGAGGACAAGGGAGAGAGGGGATGGGAAGGAGGGGGAAAGGGGGAAGGGAGGAATGGAAGGGGCAGGGAAGAGGAGGGAAAAACGTGAGGAGGGGGGCGGATTCGGCTCCGCACGGGGCTCGTCCGCAGGGGCACGCGCAAACCTTGCCGATAGAGTGGCAAGGGCGCCCAGGGCCCGAGGGAAGGGGTCGTTTCCGGCTCCGGCCCGTTTTGGCTCCGGCCCGTTTCGGCCTCATCGGTCTCTTTCGGCTTCGGCCCGTTGCGGCCTGGCCCATTTCGGCTTCGGCCTTTTTCGTCCCTGCCTGTTTCGGCTCCAGTTCGTTCCGTCCTGGCCTGTTTCGGCTTCGGCCCGTTTCGGCTCCAGCACCTTTTAGCTTTCAGGTTCGCGCTCGCACACCAGCAAGGAAGACGAAACGGGCCGAAGACGAACCAGGCTGAAGCCGAAACGGGAGAAGCCGAAACGGACCGAGCCGAAACGGGCCGAAGCCGAAACTGGCCAAGGCCGAAATGGGCCGACGCCGAAACGGGCCCGAAGCCGAAACGGGTCCAAAGCCGAATCGAGCCCTTGTGTGTGTGCGTGTGTGTGTGTGGCTGTGTGAGGGTCCCGTGGCCCGAGACGGGGCTCGGAAAGCATGCAAGTCTCACATGTTTTAGCAAACAGTGCGCTGGCGCGAGGGCAGGCCAAGGCGGACGAAAGGGGGGAAGCCAAGGGGGGGTGGCAGCGAATCGGCTCACGTAGTTGGTCTTCCCGGCGCCTCCTGGCGCCAGAGGCGCCAACGTGTAGAGGAAAGCGCCTGGCGGCAGGGCCGAAACCAGCTGCACGCAATAAGAGTCATAACCGCTCTAGTTCCCTACCCGCAATTCTTGGAACACCCAGAGCGGTGCGATGACAGACCGTGCGATGACCCCGAAACCCCCAAACACCTCACCACACGGTCCGTCACCGCACGGCTTTGGGCCCTCGAGGCCCCAGTCGTCCGAGACATCCTCGGAGAGCGACCCACAAAGTCCCAAAAACCGTGCTGCCACCCCGACATCCCCGCTGACTCACCACTCGGCGTGGTCGTCGCACCCTTTTGGGCATCCCCGACTTTCGTCCGTCGGAGAGCCATGTGGTCGACCATCAGCAACGGGTCTTACGCGAAATGGCACGGCGACCTTACGCGGTGGCTTACGCGGGCCGCCAGCGCGGCACGCTAATTACATTGGCAACGAGTGCGCTTACGCGCGACCTTACGCGGGCACCTTACGTGCCAATGTCGGCGCAGACGCCCCCTCGTTCTTGCATCGCTCATGTGAAACAACAACGTTTTCCCGCCTGGCCCAACTCCACTCAAAATCTGGCCCCCAGATTCTGGGGTTAAGTCGGGCACGAAACATGAAAAACAGCGAAACGCCAGGGAGGGCCACCGCTTTCTCGACTGGCAGCCCCCTGGGAACACTGAAAAGCTGCACCAGCACCACCAGGGGCCACCAGCGGGAGGGCAGTGGCTGGTCCCCCTGGTGGTGTGGCCCGCCCCCCCCCCCCCCCCCCCCCTCTCGCTCGAGACGCCCCCTGGCCCAAGAGATCGGGTAAGCATCGCGGGCCTTCGCTGGAGGTGCCCCCCCCCCCAAGAGACTTTTTTTCCGGTGGTGCCCCGGGTGATCCGGTGGGGGGGGGGGTGGGATGTGCTGGCCGATAACCCAGCCTTCTCGCTCTGGGCAGGCTGACGTATGCCCGCGCCCACCAATACTGCGCACCTCCTTCGGCCCTGCGCAGCCAACAAGGTCGGGTTCATGCGGGGGGGTTGGGCGGGCAGGCCCGACGACCCAGGCTGTCGCTGGACCATTGAAGAGCAGCCTCCTGTTGGTGAAGGCGGTTCAGGCCGCTCCGGTGCGCTCGTCCTGAAAATCGTTCCGCGGTGAATGCCCTTTTCCTGTCCTCTGCAGCCGAGCCTCCCTGCCCTGTCCTGCTCTTGCAGCCCGCCGCCGGCTGGTCAGTTTGCCTAGACCCCCCGGCAACTTGATCGCGCGAGCGAATTGCTTCTGCCGCGCCGCGACGAAAAACTGTTGGCGGTGGCGGTGCCGCTTCTCCTTCCCCCAATCCTCCGAGTCCGACCCGAGCGAGGGGAGGGCGCTGACTACCTGACCACCCCAACCTGACCCGAAGACCCACATGTCGGGTTGAGGGGGGGGGGGGTCCACATGTGTTTCTTCAGTGTTCCCCGACGCCCCCCCCAACTGGGAATGGAGGCACATTGGGGCCTGCGGGTTCGGTTGGGGTGGTCTGGTGGGTGGTGAAACCCGCAGAGATCCGACGCTCCAACACATTGGAACGCTGGGATTTGAGCAGATTTTGGCCTCCGGGGGCCCTCACCGAGCCTCGGGAGCGTCAAGAAACGACCAAGGACGAAAAACCGGTCCTGGGGAAGTGGTCCGGATCTCTGTCGGCGGCGACGATGAGGGCAAACAGCCCAGGGGCGAGCATTACACGCATTCGCCTGGGAGCCTCGCCGAAGACTTGGATCGTCGTCGGCGCCCCTGGATACATGTATTGCTCCCCCCTGAGCTGCTCGCCCCTATCGTCGCTTTAGTAAACCACCCTTCAGCGAAAAGACCGAACCCGACGGACCTGGACGCGCAAAAATGACTGCCGTGACGCCCTCTCGCGAACCGAAAACGGCCAATTCACTAATCGACGTGTCAAGGTAGGAGGTCTATCAACCTCCAGCTGGGGTTATGTCGGGCATGTCCCCCTACAGGCGGGAATTGGCGGAAATTGGAGTCAGGAAATCGTCCGCTGACTAGTTTTTGACCACTCTTGAATCTTCCCCCTGCAGAGGGACAGGCCCGACGTACGACTGGGGCCCTCGCGCCGAAAAAGTTGGAGCAGCCCGACTTCTGGGGAGGCGGCGGGGCGGCGGGGGGCCCACCAGCTCCTCCTGCGGGACCTCCAGGCCTCCGCCGGGCGACGCCGGCTCCTGCGGCCCGAGCAGGAGGGGCGGGGAGGGCCCCCGCCGCGCCCAGCGAGAGGAGAGCGCCGGCAGGCATGGGATCGCGGGAGGGGCCCCGAGGGGAGGGCCCACTCGCCATCGCTCGGACGTCCATTCCCTGTGTTTTTGTTTGGTTTCGTGCGTCGCTTTTTCGCCAAATGATCAAGGATGCTCCTCGATGGTCCTCGCCGAAGGAAAAATGCACACGTCCGAGCGATGCCAAGCCCCCGCGGCTCCGGCCCCCGCGGACGGGACAAGCCGGGGCGCTGGCGCGAGGGGAGACTGGGCGGCGGAGGGAGCATGCTCCGTGCTCCCGGTGGAAGCTCAGAGGCCTGCGCGTTGGGTCTCTGCCCGGCCTCCTTCGGGGAGCAGCCGTGGACTCAGCATCCGAGTCATGCGTCTCCCCGCTCCGCCTGCTGTCCCCCAGAGAGAGCACCGAACTGCAGGAGGGGCGCACGCCGCGATCCTGCGGCCGCAGCTTGCCGGCTGGGCTCTTCGCAGGAGCTGGGTCCCGGGCGCGGCAGCGTGCCCGGCAAGCGTCCGGGGCCCTGGCCCCGCAGGGGGGCGTCGACGCCTAGAGGGAGGCCCAGCGGAGGAGGCTGCCCCCCAGGACGGCGAGGAGAGGCCACCGCTGGGCTGTGCTTCGCTCCGCCCCGGCGGCCCAAGGAGGGAGAGGACGGAGCCAGACTTCGGCGGATTCGTTTGTTCGATCTTGGCGCACTGCTCGCACTTCGACCCACGGGGGGCCGGGGGGGGCGCTTCTGGACCTGACTGACTGATTGAAGCCGTGCATCCCTGGCGGACGCGTGGGCAAATGGAGTGAAACAAGCTATGCGCTTTGCGCCAGCCCTGGCACGGCTCTTGGGCACCACTGCCGCCAGCGCCGGATTTCCCGACGGGCGTGTGGGCAGATACGTGCGCAATTGGCACCCATTCGACTGCGAAGCAGAAGCAACATTCAACACAGCCAAAAGCAGCCCAGATGGGCAGATCTGGCCTCTGCTACTCTCCAGATGTGGGCGGAAACTATGGCACCAACGGATCGAAAAACGGATCCTCCAGAGGTCCGGCCAGACGGATCATGGAGAGGAACCCTGCTCCTCCTCCTCCTCCTCCTCCTCCTCTGCCTCCTCATCCTCATCCTCATCCTCATCCTCATCCTCCTCATCCTCCTCATCCTCCTCATCCTCCTCATCGTCATCGTCATCGTCATCATCAGCATCAGCATCAGCAGCAGCAGCAGCATCATCATCATCAGCATCAGCATCAGCATCAGCATCATCAGTATCAGAATCATCATCATCATCATCAGCATCATGATCATCAGCATCAGCATCAGCATCATCATCAGCATCAGCATCAGCATCAGCATCACCATCATCACATCATCATCATCATCATCATCATCATCATCATCATCATCATCATCACCATCATCATCATCATCATCATCATCATCATCATCATCATCATCATCCATCATCATCATCATCATCATCATCATCATCATCATCATCATCATCATCATCATCATCATCATCATCATCATCATCATCATCATCATCATCATCATCATCATCATCATCATCATTATCACCATCATCCTTCCCCCCGCTTCCCTTTTCCTGGGCCCAGAAGGTCGCGAAGGAGACACGGGCGCGCCAACGCCTCCGATGGGGGGCGGCAAGGGAGGCCTCCCGCGGCAAGAGGCCCCCGCTGCAGGGGAGGCGCGGGATGCCTCCTCCGGGGGGGGGATATCGAGGAGCAGACGGCGGGGTGGCCTCCGCAGTGTCAGTCAGACGGCCCGCCTCGCCGCTACACGTGGCGCAGCCCCGCCGGGGGCACCGACAGGCGCGCCTCCACGGCGCAGGACTCGTGTGCGTCTGCGCGCAGATCGCGACTCGGCGTGTGGTGCCTCTCCGCGCAATCGCGCGACCCGGTTTGCGGAGACTTACCAGTCGGGGAGAGCCTCGAGGTCCCTGGACTTGGCATCCAGGGCAAACGCGCCGAACTGGACAGGAGGAGGCCAAGGAATGGAACGGACCGCGGGGCCAGTCGCAAGCCCGTCCGACGGTACAAGCCGTAGCAGTGTTTGGAAAGACGGGTCTGGGTCGTCGAGCCGCGAGCGCACTGGCCGTGACAGTCTTGGGCGAGACCTTGAGTGTTGTCTTAGGAGTTTGCTCCGCAGAACCCGCAAAAGACGAAAAGGGCTGCATGCTACAAGCGGTGCCCCTCCACATTCTGGCACTATGTCTGCTTAAAGCTACTGGCATCTTTGACCACTCGCAGGCAACGGACCCCACGGACCTGGCCTTCGAAGTTGATCAGATCGTGCATACCAACCTCGACCTCGACGTCCGTGGAGGACCGTGGGGCCTTCCTCGTCTTCCTCCTGCTCCTCCTCCTCCTCCTCGTCCTCCTGTTCCTCCTCCGCCTCTTCCTTCGCGCGCCACATCACGACTCGTAAATTCGAGGTGCGGAACACCCACCGCTCTGAAGGTGTGAGCGAGGTACTTGCAAACGTCGCTGGCAAGGTTGGCTGGCTGCTTGACATGAATGAATGTCAGCAGCCTCGTCACCTGGGTGCATGGCAGCGCCCTCTCGCGCATCCTGGTCGGCAAACTCGCTCCCGAGGAGCAAGATCCTGGCGTCATCGGACCGCGCAACGTCCAGAACGACTGCGTGGTCGTTGACCTTCTTCACAACACCATGACCCCCAACGGCACACATACACACACACACGCACGCACACATGCGCGCACACACGCACAGACGCACAGACGCACAGGCGCACAGGCGCACACACGCACACGCACACGCACACACGCACACACGCACATGCACACGCATACACACACATACACGCACACACGCACCCACGAACGCACACACGCAGACACACACACACACACACACTCTCCCTTTTCTCACACACGCACGCACGCACGCATACACGCAAACCCACACACACATTCACAAACAAACGCACACTCACAGACGTACGCACACACGCACAAACGCACAAACGCACACACGCACACAGAGACAGACAGGCAGACAGACAGACAGACAGATAGACAGACAGACAGACATAATGACATAATGACAGACAGACAGAAATACAGACAAACAAACACACACAAACACACACACGCACGGACGCAAACACGCACGCCAGCCCGCACGCACGCACGCAAGCACGCACGCACGCACACGCACATACACACGCACGCACCCACAAACGCACACACACACACGCGCACACGCACACACACACACACATACGCACACACGCACAAACAATGCACCCTCAAAGGCACAGACGCATGACTTTTAGCCGGCGGCGAAGTGGAACCTCAGGCGCGGTCAGCAGTTGGAGGCGCCAGTTGCGAACGAACTTAATCGAACGCGCCGAGATGAGATTATCTAGCCACGGCCATGCAGGATGATGGCGGCGGTGAAAAGTTGAGGCGCTGTAAAGCCAAAGCGCGGCGGCCAAACATCCCGCACCGCGTGGCTTTACGCGGCGCAGGGCTTCACCTTCCTCCCCATGGTGGTGGAAAGTCACGGCGGCGGGAAGGGCCACGAGGCATGCAGGGCCTTCGGGGTCCTAGCCAAGCGGGTGGCTGACACCACGGGGGAAAACGCCGCAACGGTTGCGGCCCAACGCGCCCAGCATCTTTCCGTTTCCCTGCGCACGGAGAACGCGGGCGGTGTTGCGGCACCTCCGGACGCAGTCTGGAGGGGTGGGGGTGGCAGCGGCCCGTCTGGCCGCGGCCACGGCTGCCTCCACGGTGGGCCCCGCGTGAGACATCCCCGGCGCTGCCTAGCGCCGCCCGCCCACCCCCCGCGCCTTTGCTGGGCAGCACGGGCGCCCCCTGCGCCCTCCCGCCAGCGTCGCACTGGCGGTTCCTCCCCCGTCCGTTGCCGCTCGGCGTCCGGCCGGCCCCCCAGCGGGGCGGTGGGTGATCCTGCAAAGGGCTCTCCCCGCGAAGCCGCAGGGTGCTGAGCTCGGTCGGCCACCCCACGCCGCTCCCCGACGACCCCGGCGGCCCGTCCCGACGACTGTAAACGACACCCCCCTCCCCCCAACGCCCACCGCCTGCGCCGCCTGGTCGGCGTCGCCGCCATGGGGTCCGTCGCCCCGTCGCGGGTGGCCCGTCTCTCCTGGCCTCTGGCCTGGCCTGTCTGGTTGCGGTCGCGTCCCCTCCCCTCCTCTTTCTTGCGTCCCTCCCTTTCCTACTGTTCCCGGCCTGCTGTCTCCGCCTGGCCCCTCTTACGCCTGCCCGCCCGCCCCGCCGGCCCTGGCCTCCTGCCTGCGCATTCGTCGTCGTCTGCCTGCTCCTCCTTTCCTCTTGCCCCTCCAGGCAGCACGGCCTGCCCGACACCAACGTGGCGACGCGTAGGGTGTGCTCTATTCTGGTGCCGGGCCTGCTGGCTGACTCGACACGCCCATCGCGCGGATCGCTGGGGCGTCCGTTACACCCCCCCGGGTTCGCTCGCAGCTCGTTCTCGGCGGCAGCCTCCCGCAGTCGCGGCGGCGGCGCCCTCGGTGCCCCCTCCCATGGAGCTGCGGCGGGCTCCTCCTGCGTATCCGCGGAGCTCGCTGCGCCCATGGCCTCCTGCCGCCGCCGCTTCTGCTCGTCGCCACCGCTGCCACCGCTGCCGCAGCTGCTAGTCGGCGCCTTTGCCGCCGTCGCCGTTCACCGTCGTCGCTGCCACCGCTGCCGCCGCTGCTGGGGGCCGCCGCCGCCCACGTAGCCGCGGCCGTCGACGCCGCCGGGGCCGCCGAGCATCACGAGCGGCGAGCGCATCTTTATTCGCGCGCTCGTAGTCCGGATTCTGGGCCCCGCGGGGAATCAGCGAGACGGTGCCCAGTATCCACGGAGCGCGGCCTTCGGGCCAGGCCCGCGATGTCGTGGATACGGATTTGTTTTCCGCCTGCGAGAGAGCACTCAATGGGTCAGAACAGATGGCAGCGACTGATGGCCGACAGATTGGGGCTGCTTCTCGGCTTCTGGGCCCAAACTTCTGGAGCGGCGTGCTCTGCTCACACCGTAGCCGCCCCCCCCCCACTCCCGGAACTCTCGAACCCATCCCAAGTTGCTTTCTGATCCCCCACGGGTCGGTGTGCGCGAACACAGAAACACAGAATGCCTCAGGGAGCCAGTGTTGTCCAGGGAAGGCCTGCACTTTGCCTATGGCCCCGCCGGGCCCCTGGGGTGGCCAATCGTCAGGAGCCACGACGACGCCGACCACAGCCACGACGACATGGCCGACGATGGCAGCGCCTCCTGAAGGTGGGTGCTCAGGCGCCGACGACCACGACGCCCACGACGAAGAGGACGACGACGGGGACTACGAGGGCAACCAGGACGACGAGGATGCTCAAGTATGCCGACGAAGGCGACGACGATGACGGGGGCGGCGCCGAAAGCGACGATCCCCTCCAGACTCGACCGCCAGGCCTGTCCTGGAGCGCGTTCTGGCCAGGATCCGGGACGACTCTGGCCGTGAAAGCGAGGAGGCGCCTCGAAGGCCCAGGACCCAAGAAGAGGTCCTGGTGGAAATAAACACCCTGGACTTGGACGCCCGAAATGGGTACGGAAAAAATGGGTACAATGCCCAACAACAAGTGTTGTCTTAAACCAACAGCGGCCGCTTTTGGGGCAGGCGGCCTTCTGTCTCGAATGGACACAGGCCGCGGCGACGTGGACAGCGAATCCGGTTCAAAATGAACAGGAACTGCTGTTGGGCATTGTACCCATTCTTTCCGTACCCATTTCGGGCGTCCAGACACTGGAGCTAAGGGCATTCCCCTGGGACCAGCCTTGTTTATCCTAAGCAGCTTTGTTGACGGTCCCCGCGCCGCTTCCGGGTCCCAGAGAAACGAAGCCGGCGAGACGCAAGCAGGAACACCCTTCGCCACAAAACCCTTGTATTTCTGGACTACACGCAAGAGCGACCCTGGGCAAGAGTGATACTTGGTGCGCGGCTTTCGGGTACCGCGCAGGGCTCAATTCAAGCACGCAGACCTCTGCTGGGGCCAAGCGCGTGGGGCGCACCACAGGTCACTCCGGCGAAAGGCCACTGCTGCGCGTAGACGAATGCCAAGCTGAACCCCGACGACAGTGGCGGCAGGCCAGGGCGGTCCTGATGCGTCACGCGGCGCTCGGCGATCCCGCGGTGCGGCTGGTGAGGCCGCCTGCCGAAGAAACAGCCCGTCGTCGTCGTCGTCGTCGACGTCCTCGTCGAAATCATTGTCGCGGTCGTCGTTGTGGTCGTCAGCGAAATCGTCGTCGTCGGCGTCGGCGTCTTTGTCGTGGTTGCCGTGGTCGAAGTCGTCGTCGTCGTCGTCGTCGTCGTCGTCGTCGTCGTCGTCGTCGTCGTCGTCGTCGTCGTCGTCGTCGTGTTCGTCGCGATCGTTGTGGTGGCTGTCGTGGCCGTCGTCGTCGTCAGCGTCGAGGTTGCCGAGCTTGTCGCCGTCGGCGTCGTCGTCATTAATATCACCAGCGGCGTCGTCATCACACAGGCCGCCTGCCGAGGAGGTTGCCATTCTTCCTCGCGTCGTCAAGAAGCCTGCGAATCTCGTCCTCGAATTCCTGGCGCTCGTCTTCCTTGCCGCATGGGGAGGGGCGGCAGGGAGGAGAGGATCGGTTTCTCGAAGGGACATCCTCCTTCCCCCCATCGAAACTGAATTTGCTGCCCAAACATTGCTTGCACATCGAGGCCTATAGCTGCGGCCATTAACTATTGTGATGGGTGTTGTGGTTTGCCTGGTATGCGGCCATACGCGCGCGTTTCCGCACGAACACGTCAAAATCCTGGTGCGCGCGTGCGACACTCCCAAGGATTGGATGGCAAACTCGAAAAAGTTCGCGAAGACCCTGTGCGCAGCGTGGCGCATCCCCAAAGCATCGTGCCGGACTGGTTCAGGCACAGCTCGGCCCCTCGGCTGGCCCATTCTTGGTTGCATTGCCCTGTTGTCGCTTGTCCGTCGGTTGCCCCCCTCCCGTTCCCCCCCAGGCCCGTCGGCCGCACCTCGGTCGCTCGGCACCTCGGCAGGCCCCTTTCCCTGGTTGGTTTTAGTTGGTTTCGCTTGTTTTTGCTTGTCCGTCGTTGGCACCTGTCGCCTCAGGCTCGTCTGCCGCCCTTCGGTCGCTCGGCCCTTCGGCTGGCCCCATTCCCTGGCATGTTTCGGTAGCTCTAGCTTGTTTTCGTTTGCCCGTCGGTTGCATTGGTCTGGGGCCCGGGGCGCTCGATCTCCCATATGTGTGCATGGTTGTGTGAATATGTATGTATGTATGTATGTCTGTCTGTATGTATGTATGTATGCATGTACGTATGGATGGATGGATGAATGGATGGATGGATGGATGTGTGTATGTATGCATGTCTATGTGTATGGATGCATGCATACATGCAAATGTGTATGGTTGGTTGGTTGGTTGGTTGGTTGGTTGCATGTATGTATGTGTGTATGTGTGTGTATGTATGTATGTATGTATGTATGTATGTATGTATGTATGTATGTATGTGTGTATGTATGTATGTAGGTATGTATATATGTATGTATGTATGTATGTATGTATGTGTGTGTGTATGTATGTAGGTGTGCATGCATGTATGCATGTATGCATGTATGCATGTATGCATGTGTGTGGTTGTATGTATGTATGTATGTATGTAGGTAGGTAGGTAGGTAGGTAGGTAGGTAGGTAGGTAGGTAGGTAGGTAGGTAGATAGGTAGGTAGGTAGGTAGGTACGTGTGTATGTATGATTGTATGCATGTATGGATGTATGTATGCAGGTATGTGTGTATGTATGCATGTGTGTATGCATTTGTGTATGCATGTATGTGTGTATGTAGGGATGTAGGTATGTACGTATGTACGCATGTACGTATGCATGCAAATACGTACGTGTGTAGGTATGTATGCGTATATATATATATATACATATATGTATGTAGTTGCTTGCGTGTGTGATTGTAGATTTAGACAGCAGAGACATACTGATCAAACATGGATATTCGAAAAACACTGCGCACCGAATTCACAAACCCTGGCGATGTGTGTGAGGGGGGGATGTGGGCCGGTAGTCCCAGGGTGGTCCTGCGAGACGCTCTTTGAATCAAATGTGTTCCTCCCTTTCTGGCGGCCACCTTCGGCTCTTCAAGCTTGCCAATCCGAGTTGAATCTTGCTAGATCGTAATCCATTCGAAGGGAAGCCCCTTCCCTTTGATCCATTCCCCGCTCTCCTCCTCATCCTCCTCCTCTCAGTCCTCGTTTTTCAGCCCTCCTACCTCCCTTTCTTAGCCGTTGGGCCCGGTCGTGTAGAGTACGTCGGCTAAGGTGATTGTCTAGAAATGAACTCATGCTAAACCACATACGCATAACCCTTCCCGCTCCTCGCCCCCCTCCCCCTCCACTTCTTCCACTCTTCCTTACCCTCACCTTCTCGTCTTCACTGTTTTACGTTGAGCGAACTCGAGCGTCATGGCTGTGGCGTTCGTCTGGTCTTTACTCATCTTCCACCCCCACTTCTCTCTCACTGGCCATCGCTCGGACGTCCAGTCCCTGTGTTTTTTTCAGGTTTCGTGCGTGGTGTTTTCGCCAAGTGATCAAGGATGCTCCTCGATGGTCCTCGCCGAAGGAAAAATGCACACGTCCAAGCGATGCCAAGTCTCACGGAGAGCGCTCCGGCCAATACTTCGAGGCGACTCCAGTCGCGGAGACGAGAGCCCGCCTGAAGCCCCAAGACTGCAGAAGTAGGCGCAAACATGAGTCCGAGCTGATTTGTGTTGGTGTCCCTGCCCCCCTCGAGGAGGAGGAGGAGGAGGAGGAGGAGAAGGAAGAGGAGGAGGAGGAGGAGGAGGAGGAGGAGAAGGAAGCGAACAACAACAATAAGATCCCCCCTCCTACGAGGATGATGAGGAGGAGAAGAGGAGGAGGAGGAGAAGGAGGAGGAGGAGGAAGAGGAAGAAGAAGCGCACGAGTCCATGGTCTGGAAGTGCAAGGCCAAGTCACGGCCCATCTCGTTCCGGGGCTGGAAGCACCACGACCACCTGACGACAAACGTCGACGACGACAACGGCGGCACTCGTAGTGGCCCCCTTTAGAAAAGCATCCTCTGAACGAAGACGACCTGGAAGCAGACCCAACAGGCGCCGGCCACCACCACTGCGGCCGCAGCACCCGCTCGAGATCCGAAAAACAAAACAGGCTCTGACAGAAGGACCCCGCAGGAGAATCCTCTCAGATGCCATGAGAGTCACCATCATCGACAACTAGCGATGGTAATGATGCCAGGATGCGACCTGTGAGGCCGTTGAGGCCTGTGGGGCCCGTGGGGCTTTTGAGACCTGCAGGGCCTGCAGGGCCTGTGGGACCTGTGGGACCTGTGCCACCTGCGGGGCCTGTGCGACCTAAGGGGCCTGGGGGACTTGTGAGACCTGTGGGGCCTTTGGGACTTGGGGGCCCTGTGGGACCAGTGGGGCCCCTTGAATTTGTGGGACCTGTGGGGCCTGTGGGATGTGGGACCTGTGAGACTTGCGGGGCCCGTGGGACCTGTGCGGCCTGTAGGATCTTTTTTAGACATGTGGGACCTGCGGGACTTGTGAGCCCTGTGGGGCGTGTGGGACTGTGGGACCTGCGGGGCCTGTATGACCTGTGGGGCCTGTGGCACCTGTGGGACCTTTAGGACCTTTGGGACCTGTGCAACCTGTGGGACCTGTGCAACCTGTCGGATCGGTGCGACCTGTGGGACAGGAGGGACCCGTGAAACTTGTGAGGCCCGCGAGGCCTGTAGGACCTGTGTCACCTTTGGGGCATTTGAAAGCGGTGGGCAGTATGGGACGATCGATAGGCCTGTGCGACCTGTGAGAACAGTTGTCCCTTTGAGTCGTGTTCGGCTGGTTGGACCTGTGGGACCTGTGTAAACTGAGCGCCCCCAGCTCCCGCTGGAGACTTCCTCGCCACTCACTGACAGACGAAGCCCCCACTCGAGACATCCCGACGATTTGTCCCCTTGGGGTGCTCAACTGCTATGCCTGCTACACTACGCCGATGAACAGCTACAGCGGGGACCCCATATGAAGGGGGCACCCGCTGGAGATTTCCTTGCGAACCACTCACAGATGAGGCCCCCGCTCGAGACATCCTGCCGATTTAACACCCTTGGGGTGCTCAACTGCTATGCCTGCTACAATACGCCGATGACCAGCTACGGCGGGGACCCCATATGGAGGGGGCACCCGCTGCAGATTTCCTCGTGAATCACTCACAAATGAGGCCCCTGCTCGAAACATCCTCGCGATTTTTTTCTTGGCGTGCTCAACTGCTATGCCTGCTGCAATACGGCGATGACCGCCTTGGACCAAAAACATGAGGCGGGAAAAATCATGTGAAAGGGGCTCCCGCTCGAGACCTACCGCTAGTCACTCACAGACGAGGCCCCCGCTCGAGACATCCTCGCGATTTGCGCTCTTAGTGTGCTCAAGCGCTATGCCTGCTGCAGTGCGCCGATGACCGCCTCGGATGAGAAACATGACGCGGGGACCCATAGGGAGGGGTTCCCACTCGAGACTTCATCGTTATTCACTGGCTGACGAGGGTCCCGCTCAAGACTTCCTCGATAGGAGCGTGCGAATATGTGAGTGAGTGCGGGGTATGTGTGCGGACGTGGGAGAAAGTGTGATGATGATGGTGACGATGACGACGCTGCTGCTGCTGCTGCCGCTGCCGCTGCCGCTGCCGCTGCCGCTGCCGCTGCTGCTGCTGCTGCTGATGATGATGATGATGATGATGATGATGATGATGATGATGATGATGATGATGATATGGGAGTGTGGATGCGTGTCTGCTTGGGGGAGTGATGGTGCTGATGGTGAGAATGACGACAGTGGTGCTGCTGCTGCTGCTGATGATGATGATGTTGATGATGTTGATGTTGAGTTTGATGATGGTGATGATGATGGTGGTGATGATGATGCTGATGACTATGATGGCCAGTGATCAGGATCGATGATCATGAAGGGATGGTGGTAGTAGTGATGATTGTGGTGTGATGGCGTCGGTAAGTGCGAAAGGAGATGCGGAGGAGAGGGGGTGAGTTGAGAGGGCGAAGACTGCGCGGGTTGTCCAGGGAACGCAAGAACCCCACTCGAGATGAGGGCAACAATTCCCTGCCACTTGACATCCGCCGATACGATTTGTTTAATCCACGCCCCAAAAATCCCGACCTCGTTCCCAAAGGTAGATTCTCGTCCCGTGTACATGTGGGCCCCGGGGCTCGAACCTGCCCCCGATGTCCGAAATCGAAGAACACCGACGGGATTGAAAAAAAAACATCTGCCCACCGGAACTCCGAGATCGACTTGGACGGGTGGGGGCTCTTTCAACCTCCGGGGCGTGGACGTCGACGCCGTTGACGACGGCGGCCACGCCGCCGAGCGCTAGGGCCGAACACATCTACAACTACACGCAACAAAACTGCACCTTCTTGCGGGGCCACTCGAATGGCAGGCGAACCAATACGTAAGACGATGTCGCAAAAGTAAGTTTGGAATTTGGGGATCCGCGCAAGAGGGTAATCCACTCGCCCAATAGGTAGTTATGTGCCTGTCCGATAGGGGACCCCGGAGGTTGCCGGAAGTCCCCCCGCGCGGAGTCCGCCAGAGGGCCCCGAGAGGGCCACGCGCGTCTACCGAAGCCTCCGTTCTCTCGGTCACCGAGAGATCGATCGACGACGGCGCGCACGCGGCGCGCGGGAGCCCCGAGGGTGCCGCCTGACGTCGGGCTCGCCGATCTTCTGCCAGGGCACCTGCTCGTCGTCGTCGATCTTGAACTCCTCGGGGGGGGGGGTGCGAAGAAGGGTCGAAGGTACTCATCGGGGCTCCTCCTCCTCCTCCTCCTGGAGAACAACTGTTTTGGGCGAAGTTATGTTTGTCGTTGATATTGTCCCACTGGGGCCTTCGAACCTCTGGAGGCCTCCCAAGGCCCCTGCAGGGACTGTAGGACTCGACTCCAGTTCACCTTGGGTTCAACAGTCCTTCGTGCCACTACGGGAGATACCAAAATTAGTATGTCTCTCTGAGTCAATGCTGTGGTGCATCGTGGCGCTGAGTAACATCTGACCCTGGCGTACACGCGGTCCCTCGAGAAATGGCGAGGGTCGTTAGGGCGAGGGAGGAGGAGGAGGAGGAGGAGGAGAGGAGGAGGAGGAGGAAGAGGAGGAGGAGGAGGACGACGAGACATGTTAATTAGTGAATTGTTTCTTGCTGGGCCTCTTGAGAGGCCCCACGTCGCCACGGCCGGATTCGGCGTCCCGTGACAGGCCTGAAGGCCGAGGTTGAGGAGAGGAAGCGGGAGGAGGATCAGCAGCATGCGTGAGGATAAGCATCATGAGCAGGAGCAGGAGGAGCAGGAAGAGCAGGAAGCAGGAGGAAGCGGATGGACAAGGGGAAGGTCGAGGCGGAAGGAGGAGAGATGCTTCCGCAGGCTGTAAGGCGTTTCAGCTAATCGGGGGGTCCGAGGGGTCCCTCGACGGAGGAGGGAGGGAGGGAGGGGGGAGAGAAAGAGAGAGAGAGAGAGAGAGGAACAAGAAGAGAAACAACAACACATATATACACTTCGGGAAACTTGGCAGGTTTTCCGCACAGGGTGACCAGTTTCGGATGTTTCTGCAGTTTCCCCTGGGCTTCAGGAGGCCTCGCGTAGGAGGAGGGCTAGAAGGGAGCAACAGGTCGCAGGCGGAGGGCGCGGAGGATCAGGAGGAAGGATGATGATGTCTGCTCGTTGCATGAGGGTGCCGCCCGCACACAAATCCTTGGTCTCCACCAGCTTCTCGCGGCTTGCGAAATCAACGGACTTCTTCTCCTTCTCGTCCTTCTTGCTCTTCTTGGTTTTGTTTTCCTTGCTCTTCTCCTTCCGGATGCGCTCCTCGTCTTCCTCCATTTTCTCCTTCTCCTTCGCCTCTTTGTCCATCTCCATCTCGATGATCTTCTCTACCTGGCGTGCTCTGGAACCCCCGGGGCCAACCGAAATGTGCCCAGAAAGAAGGACCTCTGCTGTATTCAAGGACCCCCGCTGTATTCAAGAAACTAAGACCTCCGGAAAGAAGCGAGAGCGCGTTTCACGCGCGCTCGCCTTGGGAACATTCGGCGGCGCGTTTCGAACCGGGGGGCTGGCCCCCTCCCAACACTCGGCGCCGTCGATCAAAACCAGGGGGACTCCCCTCCCCCCAAATCCCCCCCCCCCCGAGCCCCCCCCCCTCGGCCAGCGCCGGCGTTGGCGGCCGCCAGCAGCGCCGACGGCGGGGACGCAGCGACGATGACCAGAGGCAGCCCAAGGGGGGAGGGGGTTCAAAACACATCCCCCCTCCTGGCGCCGGCGCCAGCGCCGGCGCTGGCGGCGGCCAGCAGCGCCGGCGCTGGCGCCGGCGACTGCGGGAACGCAGCGACGATTACCACCACTACCACCACCACCACTACCACCACCACCACCGAGTCATCCCATCACAACCACCACCAACCCACCACACAAACCACCACACAAACCACAACCACCACAGCCACCACCACCACAACCACCACCACCACAATTCACCATCACCACCACCACCACCACAAATCACCATCACCACCACCACCACCACAAAAAACCTACCACCGCTACCACCACCTCAATCTACCACACCACCACCACCGCCACAACCACCACCACTACCAGCAGCAGAACCCCCCACCACCACCAAAAACAAACCACCGCACCACCTCACACCACCGACCACCACCACCACCACCACCACCACCACCACCACCACCACAACGCACCACCGCCACAACCACCACCACCACCACAAGCCACCACCACACACCCACCAAACCACCACCACCACCACCACCACCAACACCACCAACACCACCACAACCACCACTGCGGGACGGGAAAATTACCACAGCCACTGCTTCTTGTTTGCGCCGCCTTCCAGCTGGCCGATACAGAAGCAGTGGTTGTGGTCATTTCCCTGGTGCCAAGCTTAACGAAAATGAACACAACCACTGCTCTGTTTCTGCTGGCTGGAAGGCAGCAACAAAAGACAAGCAGTTGCTGTGGTCGTTTTTACGTCTCGTAACCACCACCACAACAAACCACCACACCACCACCACCACAACCACCACCTCCGCCACCACCGCCACCACCACCACCACCACAACCACCACCGTCGTCCTCGTCGACGCTCCCCGCCGCCGCCGCCCGCCGCCGCAGGCGCCGGCGCAGGCCCAGAAAGGGAAATCGTCGTCCCCGCCGCAGCCGCTGGCTGCCGCCGACGCAGGCGCCGGCCCGATGAGAGAGGAGAAGGAGGGAGGGGGGTGGGGGTGGGGGATCGGGTTTCAACCCTCCCCCCCCTCCAAGCGACCACACAACGCGCTCTTTCGGAAAGAAGGACCTCCCGGATTAGGCCGGATTGAACACAATTATGAGTCGGATTCGGCTCTGGAACTTTTGCCAAACGGGTCGCCGCGGTGGCCCCTGCGCGACACGCTATGCCCTGAGAGCGGGTAGCGTGTCGCTCAGCTCCGCGTGACGGGAGGCTCGGGGAAGCTCGGGACGTGGGCGCCTGGAGACCGCGACGCGGAGAGCGTGGTGGGCCGAAACGGGCGGCGCGACGCGCTATCCCGAAGTTCCCGACCGTAAGCGGGATCAGACCGGAGTACAGTCGGGGCGTTGACCTAAGGAACCCTAAATAAGTAACGAGGCCCATTTTTACCATAAGTTGAACTTCGATTTCCCATCGAAAACATAAAGAAAACCTGAGGCAAGCTGTGAAACAATTAAGGAACACGGAGCCCCTCCTCAACGAAAAGGGTTCCTTCTTCAGGGACCCGACTGTAGGACGGTTTCGACCACGAATGTACCAGCGCAGATGCTGAACAGGACCTCCCAGGAGTTGCAAGCGAGCCTCCGCCAGCGGCGCTGCCATATTTTCACGCACTTCTGGCGACATCAGCGGGCCTACCACCATCCTCTGGCCGAAAGGTCAGTGCTTCGAGTGTGAAAGAAACCCGAGGTGTGAATGAAGCACTCCTGGACCAATAATCACTACTGGACCCCCCGAGACGATCTTTGCATATCATCTCTCGAGCTGGATCGTTCAGTTGGGATCCCAGGGCTCGAGAACGGGCAAAAGGACCCATCGTCATCTTCAAAGACGTCAAGAAGCGAGTCGACGACGACGAGGCCCGTTCTGAAACGCACTGCCTGTCGCCTCAGCCTCTTCGGCAAGAATGATTCCATCATGCCGAGGCGCTGGCTGAGCAGCGTCACTGTGGTCTGCATAGCCCGCATCTGCTCAGTGGTCTCCCCCTGCAAGTCAGTGACCTTTTCTGCATCGTCGCTTTCATCCTCCTCGGCGTCCATCCTGAAACTACTCCTCGTTTTCCTGATCCCCTTCACCTCTCTCCTCATGCTTCTCCCGCTCCAGCCTCGCCCCCTCTGCTCCTCCTCACGCCTCCTCCTCCTCCTCCTCCTCCTCCTCCTCCTCCTCCCCTCCTCCTCCTCCTCCTCCTCCCCCTCCCCCTCCCTCCTCCTCCTCCTCCTCCTCCTCCTCCTCCTCCTCCTCTCCTCCTCCTCCTCCTCCTCCACCTCCTCCTCCTCCTCCTCCTCAATCTTCACCTTATCCTCCTCCTCCTCCTCCTCCTCTCCTCCTCCTCCTCCTCCTCCTCCTCCTCCCCCTCCCCCTCCCCTCCCTCCTCCTGCTCCTCCTCCTCCTCCTCCTCCTCCTCCTTCCTCCTCCTCCTCCTCCTCCTCTTCGTCCTCCTCCTCCTCCTCCTCCTTTCCTCCTCCTCCGTTCCTCTTTCTCCTCTGCTCCTCCTCCTCCTTCTCCTCCTCTCTCCCCCCCTATTTCTCGGTTCGTCTTTCTTTTGTGTTTCTCTCTTTCTTGTTCTCTCTCTCTCTCTCTCTCTCTCTATATATCCCACTCGCTCTCTCGCAGCGCCGCGCGGTGATCCCACTCCACGGCCGCGCGCACGTTGGCGCCCCAAAGGGCGTCCGTCGTGCGCGGCCACGGGACGCACCCACGCCTGGGCACGGCGTTTCCGAAGTTTTGAGGATGGGAGGGGCGACAAGCAGAGACCCCGTCCAACCAATCCCACAGTCCTGGACTAAAGACGGTCGGAGATGTCCGAAGAGATGGGCTGGAGGGCGCTCGTGCCACTCACGTCGTGCGTGCCGCTCGAGACGTAGATATATATCTAGATAAATTGTATGTATGTATGTATGTATATATGTATATATGTAGCGCAATGCATGAAGAACACTTGTTCGTACCGCGGTAGACGGCCTAACCGTATTATAAACGCAAGAAATGGGAGTACCATGTAACGGAGTACTGTCTAGACAACACGTAAATCAAACCAAACGGAACATCGTGTAACAATCAGCTGTAAGCCGAGACAGCACAACACGTGCAAACACTGCACTCGAACGGCAATCGTTTACGTAACTAGGCTGGTACATCAGGATGGGCGCTCACAGCGCGCACGCTTCAGCGGCCCCTCCAATTGTTGCTGTAGGTCAGCGCTTGGTGCACGGATGGCTCGGCGATGGTAACCCCATGGTGTTGTAGAAGTCTGCAGTCGTCGAGTTACCCTGTTGCTCCAGTAAATCGATCAAGTACTTCGAACCACCCGCCGGGATAGGTTGATAATGGATTTGCGGGTCGTCTGGTAACTCCTGAATCTCGCGGCTGTTGAAGTGCGTGTTCACTTGAGTGTACTGATCTGGCGTTGAATCGTGTTCTGGTCATTCTGGCCCGTAAGCTTGGCGAATTTAGCGCGCTTGAAGTCGCCGGAAACGGTATCCAGTGCGATGTAGTCCGGGCCAAAGGGCATGCAGTCGTAGAAACGTGCCACCGATTCCCGAAAGTGCGTCTCCACAGCCATGCAGTTGCGCGACACCATCCAGTCACCGTCGCGTAGCGGTAGCGGTAGCGGTGTGCACTGCCCGTTGCGGGGTACTTCTGCTCTGTCGTCCGTAGAAACGCCCCCGCTTATCTCTGCGCGATTGGCTTTGTAGATGTCCGCGCGCTTGTTGCACAAATCCTCGAAGTGGTGCTTCGGCGCGGGTTTGACGCGAACGATCCTGAAATTGGTCTTGCCGTCCGTACCGCGCGCGGATCTGCAAGCGACTCGGCCCGGATCGCCGCGGATCAAAACGCGCGGCCAAGACGCCCGACCCGGCCAGCGCGATGTGTCTCTTCTTGGCGGCGTCACCGGAATCCTGATATTTTTTCCCGTAGGCAAAGGCGGCCATTGCATATGCGCCATTCTTTGTACTCAGCGGTTCGAGCCAGTAGCTATGGCGAGGGCGTACTGTGCCTGATGAGCAGCTGCCGTGGCAGTGTACGATGGTCAAGTACGAGATGTGAGACAGACTTGCGGGCTGGCGGGCACGCGTGCCAAAGGTAAATCGCAGCGAGGTGGGCTCTCGCGTCCTCTCGGTAGTCCTGCGATGTCCGAGCCAGAACAGGCAAATGCCAATGCCACTCGCATCGCGCTGGCACGAGTAATTGCGCGCGCGCGCTCGTGAGATGATCGGACGGGCAAGGTGCGCTGCGGCATTGGGGGGCGGGGGGGGGGGGCCTGCGTTCTGCTCGGGGCCGTTCGAACGCGCGCGCGACAGGTCGCAGGAAGAGCATGCGTAATCTTCGGCAGGCACTGAGAACAAGTTTACTAACGCACTTCCGTAGCGCGTCCTTCTTGTACGCGCGGTCTCGTTGGACTTGTCTTGCAATGCTTGACGATGTGAGCGAAGTAGTTGACGTCCTGGATGTAGCATCCCTTGCCCTCGGCGTTGTTGTCCTCGTCTTTGTCGTTGAAATACATGTCGACCGCGATGTCCACGCGTTGAACGAGACTATCGGATGGCGCGGCGGCATCCTTCAAGGCCACCCCGCGGCGACTCGTCACCGCCATCGTAGCGCAACCTGGTGTAGTAGTGGCCCCAGTGGTCCCGGCGCGGTTTGCAATGGATTTTCGTCGCGATGTCGAGGCTGTCTCTGTCCTTTGCGTACTGGCGCACGACGATCTGGACTAGGTCGCGCACCGGGTGGTCGCTGGGCCCCTCGACTGGTTTTTCTCCAATGTGTTCTTCATGGTAGCTGTTGTCATCCCAGCGCCAGCAGGTACTTGCGCTGCGACGTTGTCGCCGCCAGGTGCCGCTGGCGCCACTGGCGTGGGGCCAGGAAAGAGTGCCGCAGCGGCTGCAACTTGCGCTGCTGATCGTGGATCGCGCGCGGGCACTGGTCGATCGCGCGCGGCCCACTTATGTTGCCCCCGCTACACTTGTAGAGAATGAGCAACTTGTCCGCGCGGCGCTCGACGCAATATTGCGTCGCAATCCCCGCGCCCGCGAAGCTGAAGCAAACGGGCCCCGCGTTGGCGCTCGCGTCGCACCTGGCCCCGAGAACGCGAGCGAGTTCTCGCGCTCGCCTGTTCTCGCCGGGCGAGGGGTCGTAGACGCCGACCTCCATGAGCGCGGTGGAATCCTTGGCGGCACCGTAGTCGATCTCCTTGGCGCGGCATCCTTGCGCGACCGCGATGTCCACCTTGCGGCGCCATCGCTGGTCGCTGTGACAATAGGACTACAACTGGGACGCCGTCGAGACAAAGTACTGCGGCCCCCGGGTACTTTTGCGCGCGCATGCCGCGCGCGTGCGAAAATTCGCGCAGTCTGCAGGTGCGAGGCAGCACTCGTCCCATGGCGCTCCCGCAGTAAGTGCAGTCCTCGGGGCAGACGGGCTACATACTGTAATAAGCGGGCTGGGTCGGAGACGGATGATAGCGAAAATGTTCGCACGATTAGTCGGGGCGGACCGCGTCTGCCGCGCTGCCTAACATCCTCGAACGGGTCAGTGCTCGCAACGTCCCTCCAATACCCATTCCATATGTCCGCGTGCTCCCGAGGCGGCGAAGGCGCCGCTAGCCTTGGCGAGGGCGTCGGACAGACGTGGGTCCCGCCTGGAGGGCGTGCCTGCTGCGTTGTGTCTGGCTCGCTGGGAGCTGTTATTGCCGAGGTAGGAGCGCTCGTCCCAGGGTTCGAACCAAGCAACTGCACCGTCTCGTCATCTACAATCTCCGTGGGTGCGCAAGGCTATCTCTTCTCTGACGTCAAGGCTGTTCAGGGGCCCCACGCATGCATGTGTCTCCCCAGCTTTCCGTCCGGCGATGCGCGGTTTCACGTGCTACTGCTGCTCAAATCGCAGATGGAACCCGTCCAAGTGCTCGCGGGCATTTGCCGGCACTTGGCTTGGATGCAATACCGTTTCGCAGGCGTTCTTGAAGGCGCGGCGCAGGGAATCGCACAGCTTGGGCAGGTACTCCTTCGGGGGCGCCGCGCGGACATTGCCCTCCGATCTGTCATAATCCAATGCTAGGCTGCGCCCTCCCCTGCGGTTGCAACGACCGCGTTCTTCAAGTGTGCCAAGTGTCGGGCTCGCCGGTGGTAGGTGGGCCCGGGGGCCGCAGGGTGGTCGCGGGCTTCCTGCTGCGGCTGTCGGACATGCACTGGTCGAAACTGATCGCGTAGGCGTTCGGGCTGGTGAGCGAGGCGCTCATCCTGAATAGTTTCCGAATCGACGCGCGGTTCTCTCTCCAGGTCGGCGCGGCTGGGCGGCCCAACGCGGCTGGTGCGTCAAGGGATAATTCATCAGGGCTCTAGAACAGGACGCGGGATCCGACTCCTCGCTCGCGCCTGCGCCCCTCTCTGCTGCTGAGCCACGGCATGCCCAAGGTTCGCCTTTGTCCCGGAGAGGCCTAAGCCCCCCGCCCTGTCGATCACGTTAATGGTTTCGCCCGGCTCCGCTCCACGTCTCGCGCGGTGGTCCGGCGTGGACGCCCGCTACCACCCATGTCCACATGGGGCAGATCCACTTACTCCGAGCCTCTAGAAGCAGCAAGTCTCCCTCGTGTGCGTCGTTGGCTAAGTCCGCATCCGTCGTCGGTCTCGACGTAGCTTTGGAGATGCAGTTCCATGAGGCGCTCCGAGAAAAGCGCAGAAAATAATTGATCGTTCACTGTGGGGGCAGATCGTGGACGCATGGAAGCAACGCTGAGTCCTCGTCTACTTCTACTGGCTGCGGTTCGGGGTGCTGCAGTCCAACGCCCGCCCAATCTCCGCGAGGTTGCACCGCGGGCACGGCCGGTTCGCCCTTGTTCGATGCTATCTTGGCTTTGGTCGCAGCATCCCCCCCGGCGCAATGCAGCCCCTTTCTCTCGCCCCTGGCGGTCGCAACTGCTTGCTTGCATTAATGGTAGCGGCTCCTTCTAGCGACGCATCAGGCACACGCGCTGCGCGCTTCCGCTTCCGACGCGCCAACTTGA